TTATTATTATTATTATTATTATTATTATTATTATTATTATTAATATTATTATTAATTGGTTTTAGGAACTCGAAAGTTCATTGCTGCAAATATTAGATCCCGCCAATTTTTATATATATGAATATTTATATAATAAGTATTTTAATTGAATAATATAAACAATATAACCTATAATAGCTATAAATCATATAACCTATAATCTGTTTATGCTATTACCTGCGCCAATTTTTATATATGAATATTTATAATAAGTATTTTAATATAATATAAATAACATAACCTATAATAGCATAAACAAATAGAAATCATATTATAGGGACAAACTAAGATTCAATACTGCAACTAATTTATAAACTATCGTTGTTAGGTTAATTTATATTAATATATATGCTCCTATATATTATTATTATTATTAATTGGTTTTAGAAACTCGAAAGTTCATTACCACAAATACTAAATCCCGCCAAATATATGAATATTTGTAATAAGTATAGTAATATAACCTATATAATAGCATAAAAACAAATAGAAACAATATTTTAACAACAATTTAAGATTCAATACTACAACTAAATTATTTCTAACAAAATTATCAATACCACGTAAGTCAATTCGAATATTTTTGAACTTAGAATTAAATATTAACACTCCTTTCTTTTTTTGGAATCTCAAAACTTTGCAAACCCACTCACGTACTACGTGAATCATACATTTAACCAAATACTTATTGATTAATTAAAATACATACTTTTCATGAACCTCTTTCACAAATATTGTTTATAAATTCTTCTTCTCCTTCCCCTTCCCCCACCCCCCACCCAAAATGCAATACGTATCTACTGATTTATCAAACAAAAAAGGGGTTGAGGTTTCAATTTCAACTTGAACGAAGAAATTAATTGCTCTTCACTTTTTTTCTTTCTTTTTTTTTTTTTTGGTTATCCCTTTTTACGATCACAGATTTGCACCCTTCGTACTCTACTTCCATCCCTTCTTATTCCTATCCATAACACTCGTATACCCAACCACGAGTCACCCTATAAAAACGTATTGTAATGAAGAAAAAAACCGATGAGAAAGGCATGGGATAGGCTTGCTTGTGGTAAAACGATCGTTCATGGGTGCAAAAGGGCGCAACCACCATCATCCCCTATCGGTTCCTCTCCTCCCTCTTTTTATATACCCCTTCGATGGTTATACTTTTACCAAGTAAGGGGGATGGGATATGCTTGCACACTTCAACAGGAGAGTGTGACTTTATTTTCTATACGCCATATTTGATACGATTTAATAGAAAATGGTGGCAACATTTTTATCGAATATTTTGTATTTTATTTATTAAATTATTAATAAATTTTAAATATATTAATTTTTTATATTTATCTCTGTATAATTAAAATCATATTTGTGGATTTGTTTAATTGAAAGTAAGTAAATAAAAGACCAAATAATTATTTTTATGTTTAAAATATATATGTATATATACGTGTAGCTATATTTTATTATTTTAAATTAATAATAATCAACATTTTGATAAATATATATTATTAGTTAATTAGTTATTAACTCGCGTCAATATAACGTAAGAATTTATATACAATATATACATATTTATATATTTTTTTCAATGATCAACAAGTATTTGTTTTACGTAGTATGTTATAGTATTATATATATATATATATATATATGAAAAAAAGAAAAGTTTTTTTTACTATATACAAATATCACACGTAGAACACGATTATTTATGTTCATTAATATTACATCTACCAACAATTTCGTCCGATCATTTTTTTCTTTAATTTGTCTTTTCAATTTATTGAAACAATAGTTTTTCATATAGTTTTTAGTATTAAAAATATATTATTTTGTTTTCATTCAAAAAAATACGGACAAAACTATCTAGTAGATTTAATATTATTCAATTTTTATAAAAAATATTTGAAAAAAGTTTGTTCATTTTGAATGAATTCTGAAAAAACTTTAGTATCAAAATCTAGGTAAGGTTAGGTATCAAATATATGTTTAGTAACAACAATACTATGTATAACCTAAAACATGGTTTATATGTACATACTTTTTTTTATCCTCACCCCTAATATATTTGATCTAAAATATAAATTTATATATAATTATTTAATAATTGTAAATGTGAATAGAAAAATACACCGAAAATACATGGATATACAAATATGGCGGGACTCCATATTTAATCCCAGAGAAAGACACTAATGGCGGACGCAAATGCGAGTCATCGTGTTACTTATTCAAACTTTTTCTAAATATTAATTAAAATCTATGATCATTTAATAAAATTAAATAATCGAATGGTATGCATTTTTCTTTTGTTTTTTGTTTGTTTAAATTAATTTACCTTAATGAATTCTAATGGCTTCTCTTTATCGAAAACAATGTCACACACAAGGTTTCTTCATTTGTTATTTGTCCACAATTTTGAGTTTCTTTGTTTTTTTTTTAGGTTTTTTTTATGCAAGTGATGGAAACATTCCTAACGAAAATACACTCAAAGGTGTAGAAACGTGATACAATAAATCACGATTTTCATGTGTCCTCGTATGTTTTTTCAAATGATCCTTCCTACCAAATTTTTTGCCGCAAGCCGAACAAGAATGTGGCCTCAATCCTGTATGAATCCTTTTGTGACGAGTTAATTCCTCATTTCTCGTAAAACTTTTGCCGCATCCTTCTGAGTCACACTTATACGGTCTTTCACCTTTTTTTTTTTACAAATAAAACATCACATTCATATATAAAATTTGACATTCGAACAAATTATATTAATATTATATTAATTATTAAAAAATTGATATTTATATTATGTAAAATATTCATTATATTATATTATATAAAATATTAAAATTAATATTTAAATAAATTTAAATAAATTTAAATAAAATTTTGAAATCAAAATTCAATAAAACCTCTTTTCAATATTTTATATATTATTTAGTTTATATATTATATATAATTTAGTTATATATATATATTATAATTTAATTTATATATATAAATTATAATTAATATATATATAATATTATTACTATAATATATATAATATTATTATTATAATATTATTATATAATTATAAAAGTAATATATGTGTACCTGTATGTATTCTAACGTGTCCTTTTAATTGGCCATTATTACTAAAAGCAACGTCGCAATATTCGCAACGAAATTTTTTCGGTCGTAATTTTTTCATTTGTTTAGCAGCAACATCTTGCAAATTAACCAATTCAGCAGCTTTCTCAACAGACGTATTATAAGTTGGTAAAGTATCATAATGATTAATCGAAGATATTTGTGGTATCTGTGGTATATCTTGAATATGACAAGTATTTGGAAATGTATTTAAAAAATTTGACGAACGATATGGATCATCTTTACCATCTAACAATGGAAACATTTCTGATGGATGATACAATCCTGTCGTAAGATAATTTAAATAAGATATGAAACTTGCTGGATTGTATGAAGGTAAATTCACCGTACTGGACGAAGTTGGAAATTGATTTGTACAAAAACGTGGATCACTTTCTTCTGATAACGATGTATTTGAATGATAAACAATATTTTTCTTTGGTCCATTCAAATGAGCTTGTTCCGTAACATTTTTCTCCATCCTGTATTTTTGATTCACATTAATTTCATTATTTTTCTCGCACAAATTCGATTGAATGTTATTTTCATTCACGTTTACCACTAATTTGGTATTTTTATTATCATCCTCTCGTAAATTACGTTTACACTTTTTCTTCTCCTTATTCATGTTCACCCAAGGACGAAACAATTTATCAGCCATATTTGTCCAATCCAAATTTGTAATAAATATATATTCACAATAAACATTTATAAAGATTGTTTTTTTTAATTGATTTCTTGATTAAACAACAACAACAAAAAATTGAAAATAACTGCACTTATATTTCTCATCGTTTACTCATCGTAAATAATTATCTTCTTTTTATCAATGAGAAATATTTCAATGTTAATTTTTTTTACTCAACTGTACATTTTTCTTATAACATATTATTTTGATATAATTCCAATGAACTATTAGTACACCTCTTAACTTGCGTAAATTAAATTGTTTTTTAATATCTTGATTTGTTGAATAATTAAATCTTTGTACAACTCATTGTAAGAAGAACTTCAAAAAACATGTATAACATGTATAAATTGAAAAATGGGGGGGCGAAGGGTGGTTCCCTAAGTAAAATCTTATCCGTTTACTCGTTCTCTTTAAGGGTTCAGTAGCCAGTTGGTAACTGTTCGACTGTTACCCGTTGAAAATGATTATATACCATCAAATGTTCCCACCCTCTTGCTCGGGATTGGGTCGTACCCTTGAACAGAGTGCATTGGAGAAGGGTGGAAAAAAAGAAAGTTGATTGGTAGAGAGAAAGAGATGGACCACGGGGTTTGAAGAAGAACCGAGTGGTGGGCTTTTGGAGGGCCTGCCGTAGGCACGGTTTACAAAGCTCTCCGAACCTTTTGTCGTGAATTAGTCAACTGTATGCGAGAGTGCCTATCTGGGGGGGGGGAAAGAAAAAAGAGGGGAGTTTCGAATTGAAATAAGGGGGTACGAACGAGGCGTTGCAACCCTGCATACATGCCGCCCACCACTCCGTTCTCCACAAAACGGGGCCCTTTTATTATTATAATTATATATTTTATTTTGTTTCTCTTGTTTGTTTATTTATTTATTTATTTTTATTTTTTTTTGTTCAAATAACATATATGTAAATTTTAAATATTCATTATTTTATTTGCAACATAAGTGTGGTAATGGTAAAATTATATTTTTGTTTTGATTTTAGTATTGTTTGATATATATATATATATTTGATAATTAGGATGATCCGGTCACGTGTTGATGTGTAGGTTAATTTTTAATATATATAATATATAATGTATAAATAATAACACACAAAGTAATACCATAATTAGAATGGAATACATAAAATAATAATACTTGAAAAAATCTAAAAAGCAAGGTTAGTTTTATCGAAATAATTGAATTGTAATACAACGCCATCTATTGAAAATTTACAGTACCTATAAAAACCTAAATAACCTCTAAATAATAAATCCCTTAAATTTGCGATAAAAAAATTAAAAATAAACGCGATAAAAATTATCCTATATATATATTAAATTGAACAAAATAACGTAAAATAAACAAAATTATATTGTATATATAAAAATAATAATATTAATAGAAAAAAGAAAATTTTAAAAATAATAGAAACAATCGTTTATAGATGTCATAGACACATCGATGTGAACCTCGCGAGAGAGACCACTTTAGACAACAATGAAAATAAGGGACACAGTAATACAGTATACCGTTTTCTTCACGTGTATATGTGTACGTATGTGTGTGTGTTATGTGTTATCGCATCTTGTATGGAATATATTGTAGAAAAGCTGCGAGGGTGGAGCCCTGCAAAGCGCTTCCTTGATTTATTGTAACACTCCAAGCGAAACTACCCTCCAGAAACGAGCCGTCCCCGTTTGACCTCCCCCTTCCCTTCCCTTTCCCTTTCCCTTTCCCTTCTCTTCTTTTCTCTTTCTTTTCCTCTACAAGCAAAAGAAAAACACCCTTCTGTCAAACGACGTACGACTGAAGAATCATACAAAAACCAACTCGCTACCATTGACATCCTAGTGTCTTTTGTGATATTCGTCACACGACGTCCTTTTTTTCTTTTTATTTTTATTCACAGTCCGGATCACGTCACACGCTATTTAATAATACAACAGAATTTTCTTACATCCGTGAAAAATCAAACCTGTTAAAGACTTTCGTAATACGAAAATAAGATCTTCACGATTTGGTTGGTTTTAACTTCTCGACGTATTTTTCTTTGTATTTTGATTTACTGTAAAAATAACTAACCTATACTTACAAAAATAATATAACAATTATTAATTTGATATTAAAATTCGACAATTAACAAACAATATTTACAATTAATTCGATATTTTATTCATCAAATTTACTGTATAAATAACTAACCTATACTTTCAAAAATAATATAACAATTATTAATTTGATATTAAAATTCTACTATTAACAAACAATATTTACAATTAATTCGATAATTTATTCATCAAATTTACTGTATAAATAACTAACCTATACTTTCAAAAATAATATAACAATTTTTGATTTAATATTAATATCCCCCAATTAACAAACAATATTACTTTAAAAATACCTAACCTATACTTTCAAAAAAAAATAATAACAATTATTGATTTGATATTAAAACACTCCGTATAATCTACAAACTTTGATTTGTTTTTATTTAAAAAAAAAATAAATCAAATGTGTGTGTTCTTGTGTTAACCCGTGTCAAAGAATTAAAAATAAAAAAAAATAAAAAAGAAGACTAGGCCACGATTTGTAACAGAAATAACGTCATCCATGTAAGTATTACTTTTGAAAAGAATAAAAAAAATGTAAATGTTAGCCGATGGGAACAACACAAAGTTCTTCTTCTTCTTCTTCTTCTTCTTTTTTTTTTCTTTCTTTTTCCCTTTTTAAGTTGCGAATCGAGGACACTGGTCGTTCGTCTACCTCGTCTAAATTTGATGGATCGAATTTTCGACTGAAAAATCTTACCCGTCGCGTATTTCTATTGAAAATCTCATCGATCCGTCTTACTTTAATTCTTCCAAAAGTCACAACAACGAATTTGACCTTCTTATATTAGTTGTATCTACATCAAGAAAGAAAATAATAATAAAAAGGAAAAGGAAAAAAAAAAAGGATAGTGATTTGTATGGATACAGAAATATTGCGGTTTTTTCCTTTTTTTTTCTTTTTTTTTTTTTTTCTATGCAACTAAACAAACACGTTACGCATTTTTACGTTTACGTAAAATATATTAAACGCATCCATCACGTTTTAACATTTTGTTTTTTTTTTTTTTTCTATTATAGTTTATACGTTTGAATTTTCGATCGTACGATTTCAGAACCAACCCATTTTTAAAATTAAAACCTCTCCCCATACCACCACTTTCCCAATCAATATAATATACTTGATTTGAGGTTATGTTTAATGAATAAATTGGTTCTCGTTTTTTTTTTCTTTTTTTTTTTTATTAAAAAAAAGTACTCACAAACGAAAGAAAATTGACCAAAAGCTAACGGCAAAAGAAGAAAAAAAAAAAAGAAAGAGAATAAAGAATATCCCAGGATTAAAAGTCTTGTCAATGCTAAAATGATCGATGGATCCTTTATGAACGAAAAATCCTGAATATAGACAATTTGCGTGAGCGAATTTTTTGTCATTGGTTATACATCAAATTCCATGTTTTTGAAAATCGAGATAGGTACGTACAAATTGTTAGGAAAAAATATTCACAATTGAATCGAAACGATGAATGTTTGTAAAAAAAAAAAAAAATAAATAAAAAAATAAAAAAGAAAAAGATAAAAGATAAATATGTTGAACGTGCTATCATCGATCGATCATGTCGCGTGCCTTCCATGATGAACAGAAGTTCTTTTCTCTTTTTTTTTTTTCGTTACTTTCTCCAATATTTCTGTACGTTTACAAAATTATGAATAGTAGCTCGAAACGTGCTATTATTATAGATAAATTTTTAAACTAAAAAATAACAACAATATTTATATATATATATATACAGTTGATATAGTTATTTCATATAATAGCTAGTTGTTTCATAAATAAAACAAATTTTAGGTTATAATGTTAACATATAGTTACATAAAATATATTATTAAAATAAACAAAATTAGAATAATATATATATATATATAGTTAATAATTAATTTTAACCAACAATCCTTGACGTTTAATAACAAAATAAACAAATTACTATTTTACAAGAACATAACCTCTTATTTAATATATAAATATATATTAATATATATACTATATATATAATACTATAATAATTCTAAAAATAATACTATATATATATATATAATTTATTATATTTTTTATTAAATATATATATAATATATATAATATATTATTAATTATAATATATTATTAAAATATAATATATATATATATATTTATATATTAAATAATATATATTTCACCAATCATTTTCCTTGAAAAATCCTCAATTACTTAATTATCAACCCAACAAATACTAATTAACATTTCTTTATAATATATTAACACTTACGAACAATCTTTGTATCTACTTATACAGTTAACATAAATTCGAAAGAAAACGGTTGTTTAAGGAGATATGGTCAAGCAAAGCACTCACGCTTATGTTGAAAAAGTCGAGGGTTAAAGTCACGGCAAGCCCTATTATAGCCCTCGAACGGGACCAACCCTCCCGGTAAACAGAAAGAGAAAATGTGCACAACCGCAAAGTTGCCGCCCCTTGCATGGCGACCCTAAATTTGATTATGCCTCTTCCACTCGACTAAACCTGTTAGATTCATTGCCGAAACCCGCCGATGGAAATATTTCATTTTTCTCTTTTTTCTCTCTCTCTCTCTCTCTCTCTCTCTGTTTCTCTCTTTTTCTTTTTTTTTACCATGGTGACAAGTTGTCTTTGTTATTCAGTCGAATGGAACACTTGGAAATATAGGAAAAGGGATATATTGCGTATACAGTGTTCCAAAAATATTACTACTTGAATTTTTTTATTTTATTTATTATTTAAATTAAAATATAAACTAACAAAAGTAACAAAAAATGTCTCATCAAGGATAATTATTTCGAATTTATTTTGTAACTTCGATGTATTAAATCGTTTGTTTTTTTTTTTCAAAATGGCGAGATATACAGTTTTTCAAAATATAATAATAAACATAGAAAAATTTGTCTCGTAACGTTGATCCAAAATGGGGTAAAGTGAAAAAAAGTTGTATCATGAAAAAAAAAAAAAGAAAAAAAAGAAAAAGCAAGCAAGCAAGCAAGGAAAGAACGAACGAACGAACGAACGAAAAATCATTCTGCGGTTTTATCTCGTTTGGCCATTAATCAAAAGATATTCTCAACTTCCACGTGAGTGAATTTATCCTTGAACAGAAGACACGAGTGAAAATGAAAGGAAGAAAAAGTAAGAGAGAGAGAGAGAGAGAGAGAGAGATAAATACTATAAAATATAAAGAAACGTTCGTCCAGATGGCCCGTGCCCGAGGACGAATGGAGTCACGTCTCTCCTCTCCACTCCTTTTATTTTTTTTTTGTATTTTTTACACTTTTTGAATCATCTCCTTCACTCACATCAGCTACCTTTTTCCCCCCTCCGTGTTCCTCCCCAAAAAAAAAGAAAATAATTTTTTTTTATTTCATACCCAAAACCTTTGCGGTTTTTATTGTTGACAAAAATCAAATGAAGTGTTGTTTGCAATTGTTGTTGTTCTCTTTGAAGTTATCCTCCTCCTCCTCCTCCTCCTTCACCTCCTCTTACAGTTACTCTCGCAAATGGCCTATAACCCTTGAACATAATCGACAAGAAAAATGCTCTACAAATTTTCACAGCGGGAGCTTTTCGACACCTTCACCATCTTTACACAAATCGGCTTCTATCAAAAGGGATGAAAAACCGAAACGGAATGACCGATAAATTGTTCAATGGTATTTTCAAATACCGAACGAAAAAAAAAAAAGAAAATTGCAACAATGTTCAATGATCAATTTAAAACGGTATTACAAATATTATACACACACACACACACACACAACATATAAACATTAAATTACATTCAATAAATAAATGAATCATTTTGTAATTATAACATTTCCAAGGTGTGGGGAGGGCAAGGGGGAGGGGAGGGGGGAAAAACAAAGTTTACAAACATTTTATTGTTAATGATCTAAGTAAAAATAAAATAATACAAAAGTTTTTTTTTATGAAAGAAATGTAAGATTTTTGGTTTTTTTGTTTTTTTTTTCTTAAACGATTTATCACACACACACAAATTCGAATAATTCGTTACGGTACTATTTAATGTTTAATGTTAACTGCATTAAAAATGCTATAAAAAAAGACATTTAAAAGTACCCTAATAGGTTACCCTAAGTAGATGTGTATTAAGAGGATATAGAAAAGCGTAACAAATTTATAGAAATGTTTTTTTTTTCTTCTTCTTCTTCTCTCTCGTGAATTCGAAACGCGAGATGTAATGTACTACGACGACTATATGAAAGGTATATAACTAAGCGTGAATTGATATACATTTGTAAAAAGCAATAAGTTCCCAAAAAAAAAAAAAAATGTATAAATATAACATTATTAAGATTATATTTTTTAAACGAATCAAAAATTGATGAATTTCATTTAACGCTAAATGAATAACTTGAATCCAAAATCTAATTAAATTACGTTCTAATTGCAATAATTTTTAATGTAAAACAATTTATAATATGAACAAATATCATAAAATATAATAATAATAATAATAATAATAATATAGCAACTGTCTATTATTTCAGTAAAATGATATAAAATATTTCATGAATATTATTAAATTATACAGTAATATATATATATATATTTAATAGCATATATTATTCAACAAAAAAAAAAAAGAATATACAATTTGTAATATTACAAATGTTATATACTTACATATACATGTATACATGTATAATGTATATGAATTTGTTCCATAAAATGGAACCAATACTTTTAACAAACTTTTCTTAGGAAATATCATGTTCTGTATATATATATATATAAAATGTAGTACGGACAGGATCGATTCGAGATCCCTCGTCATTTATAACAAGTAAATTTGAAGTTGAGCAAACAAACACATTGAGATCGGCACCGCGTTTGAAGTGGTGTTCCACTATTATAACAGAAAAAGGTGCCGAACGATTGTTCACCTTGTGATCTCTTTAGTCGGCCTTCTTTTTGGCTTTCCTTTGCTCTGATTTTACCGCTATGTGATTCGTCGAAAACGTCTTCCTTTTGGTAAAATCAGTATTATTCTTCCTCTAGTACAGTAGTATTATTCTTATTATTCTTTTTTTCTCTTTTTTTTTTTCTTCTTAGTACATTCGTAGAGGAAACCAAGTCAAGGAGTGAGATGACCACAAAGGTAACACCGCTGTTTGAAATCATTATTGTTGTTCATTCGAATGTTCGTCCTTTGCTAAGATATCATCACCTTAAGCACTCTTATTTTCTTTTTTTATGTCTCTCAACACCTGACAAAAATATTTCTGTAATAAAAAAAAAAAGAAAAAAAACAGAAAAAAAAAAACAAATCTACCAAATATCTTTAACATATAAGTAAATATACAAGGTGTCATGTAATTAATTAATAAACGAACATAAGGAATAATGATTTTAGATGAAAAATTGTTAATCGTAAATGTAAAATCAAATTTGTTGATATAAATGTTGTCCATTTGGATGGACATAGTTTGCAATCTTTGAAAATTAATAACTTTATTCAACGAATGTAAGTGAAAAAATATTTAAAGATAGATAGTTCGACATTAATTGTATATGAATAACCATAGTGAATGGAATTTGTTAAGAAATATTAAAAGAAAAAGAAAGATTTAGAATTTTGAAAAAAAAAATCATATGAAAAAGAGGTAAAAATTAAAAATACATTAAATAATTTTGTTTGAGTAATTCAATTGTTGAAAAATCTTTCATTATTCTTGTTATTATGATTCTATATTATATTATAATTCTATTATTTTAATTGAATTATTTTTATAATTTTACAAAATTCGATTGTGTTCATGAAATGCATAATATATTTGCATATTTCAATATCACAAATAAATATTATTTCATTGTATTAATTAAAAACAATAAAATATTTTTATCTATGATTTATCAATTCAATCGACTTATTTATTTCTGAAAAGAATAAAAAAATGTTTTTATTAAATTATTTGTAATTTTAATGATAAACATGCAAGTGAAACTTACAATATTCGTTGAATATTAACTATTACGTATAATTTAATATTTACACATCCTCTATCGCATTATCTATTATATAAAATCGATTTAACTATTCAAAAACTTTTTACACAATACTTTAATGACTTATATATGATTAAAATAAAATATACAATTATGATATTACTGTACAGATATCATCAAAATTAACAATTTTTATCTTCAATTTGCACTAGTTTACAATTAGTTTATTTGAGAAAAAAAAAATTAAAATAAAATGGAGTAGTTCATTTATATTTTTAATACTAGATAAACAGAAGAAAAAAAAAAGAACACTCTCATAGTTCCATGTAAATTATGAATCACCATGTGTTTTTAAATGTATTTTTAAAGTTGTTCTATTGATAAATGCTTTAGGACATATGGGACAAGGATGTGCACGCGATAGATGATGCTTCAAGTGTTCATTTAACTGCGCACTGGTTTTAAATATTTTCTTACAGATATTGCACTTGTATTCTTCTGCATTTTCCAAATGTGTTCTCGTGTGTTGATCGACTTCAGCAACGTTATCAAATTCTTTCGAACAAACTCTACAACTGAATGTTACAGCTCGCAAAATTCCTATTTGACCACCAGTTATCGGTGTTGGTACAGAAATTATACTACTTGGTTCTGCAATGTTACAACGTATTCCTTCTTTTTGTGTATGACAATTAATATGATTTCTGTGAAATAACAAATGAACACAATGAATATATATATGTATAAATTAGATTAACAAATCATTTCAAATCAAAGTTTATGAATATTTACCTATATGCCTGTTCATTTCTAAAAGTAATGTTACAAGTAGGACATAGATATTCTTGTTGAGGTATTTGAACTGTTACAGGTGAGACTTTTGCTTTACCAATACCTTCGAGTTTTATCGAAGGATGCATCAGAACGTAATGATTTCTTATTTCATCTTTGGTATCAAATATTTCAAAACATCTGTGACATTTATAAGGATACAAAGGATCAGTGCTTACATGTGACTTAGCATGTTTATCAAATGATATTCGTGAACTGCATTCAGTCAGACACATATCACAAACAAAATGTTTTTTAACATGAAGATAAAGTGATTGCGGAGAAGTAAAAGATTTCTGGCATACAGAACAAACATTAGTTTTTTCTATCTGTGCGTTGTTTTTCTTCGTGACATAATATTTATTACATTCATCACATTGAAATGCTGATTTATTTCCATAAATGACCTTTTTCAATTTGCATGCTCCTTTGATGCATTGCGGTCTTTTCACTTTACTAATTTTGACCATTTTCTCTGTCTGCGATTCATCATCCATTTCTTGTTCATTCTTAAATATTAACATATCGTTATTGGAAATTGGAAAATTTTCTAATTCTCTACTAGGTATGATTACTGGATCCTTATTTTCTGAATCTGGCTCTGTATGTATTTTTTCTATTTGTATTGTTAAACGATATACTTTGTGTCTATTATCTTTATTCGGCATTGATGTAGTTGCATCAGGTTTATTTACTGGTTCCTTAAGCGCATTTGTCTTATTTTCTAAACCCGATTCCTCAATCTGTTAAACATATAAAAGAATAAAAATAAAAAAGAATATTTGAACAATCAGATATTGTTAAAGATTAAAATTCCTAATGAAATTTTACTTACATTATCTCCCAATTGTGCAAATGGACTTTGTGGTGGAGTTACCAAGCTATGTGAATCTTCATCTAAGATTTTTTGCTTTGATGGTGGTTGACCCATCAAAGATTCCATATCTATGTTATTTTCAGCCTTTCGTTTTCTTTGCAAATCTAAAAGACAAGATTAATTTGTTTAGATTTAATTATTAATAATCAAAATCAAATAAGAAAATAATACCTTCGCTATTATGAAAAATAGTTGGTACTGCATTTGTTTTCAATTCATTTGATGCCGTAAAATAACATTTTTCAAAATGTAATTCACAAACGTATAAAGAGTCACTTTCATCACTGGAATCGAGAACTAATTTACAATTTTTAATCCATTCTTGACGTCTCCTAGAAACATTCAAATAAATAATTGTTAATAATAACAAAATTCTTATTTTTCTAATGTATACAACAAAAGATAAAAATACAATTAGTCTATTACAATAAATAATATAATTGTTTTATTATGACAAAAAGGGTTAGAAAATAATGAAGTTACATACGCATCATCTTCAGGAAAAGCAAATAGTGCTATTTCACGGCCATCAATCTTCGTATTTTGACTTGATAAACAACCACGTACTTTGCAAACGAACGTCATATTACAGTATAGGTTATTTAATATTATCGTCCCTGGAATTCCAGAAACAAATTATAATACCATAGTTAAATAAAAAGTCTCCATAACCTATAATCTATATTTACTTTAAATATAAAACAATGTTATTAATATAACGTACATATATATAAAATGTTCACTATTAATAAAAATAAATTATAAAATTAAATTTATTTTTTATTAATCGTTTACTATATAATTCACCGTTCAATATGAAAAATATAAATTAACCAATCATGAAAAACTGACTCTCGTTTCAATCTGCGATTACTATTGGATAATTAATCGATACAGTTTATATGAACATCAATCCTTTCTTCCAATAGAAACACATATATGACCTCTCACTATTCGATTTATACCGTTTCCTATTGGTGCATTAAAAAACCAACGATTTGATTGGCTAAAGAATAATCTGTTACAATATGGTGGTATACTTAAATAATTACAAGAGGTGTGTATGTGTTTTGAAATGTTATATGTAACACGTGTATCGAACTTTATTGTATTGTAATAAAATAAAAAAATAAATGAATAAATAAATTGAAAGAAAATCTCAGTGTTTACATATGTAATAATAGTGTGTTCATATTTAAAAAATAATAAATTTACAAAAAAGTCATGTTGCAAGCTGTATTAAAAAATAAGAAAGAAACATTTATGAATTTTTGTGCACCTTGCTTACAACCTAAAGTTACATGTGATACTATCAGTACAGAAGGATACGAAGTGACGAATCTTATAGAAGATCCTTGTAAAGGCTTTTTAGCTTATTCTTGTATCAAACCACCAGTTCAAATTGTTTTTACATTTCCTTGCAATATACAAATTCATCATATTTGTATATGGCCATCGGTTGGTTCTCAAAAATCATCTGGTTTTCAAGTTTATGCAAAGACAGATAATGATTTTATACCATATACTTTATTATCGAGTGGATGTTTAAGTGCAAATGATAACGGTGTGTTGTTTTATGCAGCTAATGTAAATCCAGCTAATATTTCAGTACCACCTAACTTCTTGAAACGTTATATAAAAGGATCAGCATGGTATACAATATCTCAAACTAAAAGTTTAAAAGTATCTATATTTAGAACACAAAGTTCAGTGCCAGCACTAGGTAAAATTGAAGTATGGGGATCTGTATCACCGAATACTAGCAGAGATATTATAAGAAGTGTAGAAGCTTTATGGTCATCATCTCAAACACCTGTATGTCTACCTACAATAAATCATCAATCTAGTATTTCTGCTACCAATATCAAGGATGTTGATATGCAGAATACGTATGTATATTAATTTACATAATTTTTAGGAAAAATGGTAAAAGAATATTTAATCATTAAATATATGTAACAGGAACAAAGCGGAAACTTCACTGGAAGTACCGGATTGTTTTTTGGATGCAATTACATATGAAATTATGACCCAACCAATTATGTTGCCAAGTGGTAAGATTATTGATCAAATTACATTGGAAAAACATGGAAAAAGCGAAGCTTCATGGGGTAGATCTTTGTCAGATCCTTTTACTGGGCTTCCATTTAATGAAATTCGTAGACCTACTATAGTAACTGCATTAAAAGCTAGAATAGATAAATTCTTACTTGAACATTCAAATATGAATGAAATTAAAAGATTACCACGAGTATTAGGTGGTAAATCCTCTAATCAATATGTTGCTGCATGCCAAATAAATAGAAATACAAGAGAAGCTAATTCACTGACAAATAGTTCAATTAAAATAAATAATAATAATAATAATTTACAAATAAATAATGCGATGAAACGAAAAAGCCAATGTCATAGATTACCAATAACTACAATTCAATCAAAGACTGTTCCTTACGCGAAAAGATTCAAAATGTCTAATGTTGATTCTTTGAAAAACTGTAATAATGATGTAGAAATAATTAACGATAAACAAATTCACCAAAATAATGTAGATAGCGATATTGATGATGATGTTAGACTTGAATTATCTTGTATTAAACGTTTTAGTACACCAAAAAGTCTTCAACTCAATACTTCAATTTTAAATAACTGCAATTGTTGTACATATAGTATATTATATAAACTGCCATGTAATCATGTGGTGTGCAGACGAATATTAACCACAAGTACAAATAATCAGTGTCAATTATGTGGTTTAATTTATCAAAAAAGTACTGTTGAACGTATACATAATTAAATGTAAATATTTGAAATATTATAAATGCTAAATTAATCATTAAAAATTATTAACAGACGTATTTCATGAATTTTTATTAATTTTGAAATTAAATCAGTTGCTGTACATTGTATAAAATATACAAAATGTATAATAAATATTTTAATGAATTATGTGATATTATAATATATATATATATAATATTGTTTAGTTACCACATAATTTTATACATTTATGTTTTAATCATACATTTTACATTTGTATATATTCATAAAGATATTCATCACAATAGTTTGTTTTTAAACAAATAAGTAATTTAAAAAGAAAAAAAAAAAGAAATTGTGCATTTATATTTTATACAAAAGATTTACTACGAATTATATGTTACATATATTGCAAAAAATATATATATATATATTATATATATATTGTTTTTGGCAATAATTCAGAAAGATTATTCATATTGTATTGATAATATAAACTTTTATATTTTTAATAAAAAAAAATCTTCACAGTATTAAATTTTCACGAGTGTGATAACATTTTTATTTAAAATTACTTTTCATCATTTTTTCATTTTCAATCATTTATAACACAGTAAATCCGCTACCTTGACTTTGTCGTTTAGCGATATTAAAAAGAGATAATAAATAATTACGTGTTTCTGGACAAACATAAAAGGTAAATGTATGTTCTGAATTTGTTGTAGATGATTCTAAAATATCAGATTGTTCATCACTATTAGTAGATAAACTAGCTAAACCAGTACTGCTCGTACGTACATATTCTGCAACTCTTGCCCTCATTTCTTGGTCCATCTAAAAAAAAAAAAAAAAAGAAAATATAACTTGTACACACATATACATTTATATTATAAAAACGATTACACAATTGATTATCATCATCATACTTCATGTTCAGTGGGTGATAAGGCTCTACTAGTTTGCGTTGTTGCTGGAGGACAATATAAACAAAGCATCGTTGATTCTGAAGAATGATCAATACTGGTTAATTCTTTCAAAGGCAATATCTTTTCCACACTGTCTTCAGCTATATTAACAAGTAATAATGCTTGTCGTGTAAGAACTAAAGTTACAGCACGATTACTTCCTTGTTGTAAAACGTAATCTGCATTAGTTACATGCAGAATATTGTCACAATTTTCTAATAATGGTAGTAAACGCCATGCATATCGAATTGATGCATTATTATTACCAGTACTATATTGAACGATTGGATGTTGTCGAGGCTAAAGAATAACACATTAAATACATAAATTAAATTCATATGAAAATAAATGTTATATAAAATAATTCACATTTTGTAAAGAGTAATATACCAAAGGTAAAGAATTCCATCCTGCGCCTTGTAACAAGCCTTGTCCAGTAAGAGCAACTAATTCAGCAGCTCCACTAAGAGGTTTTGTTACTACACCAACTAATCCAAGTCCAACTCCTGTAACTAAACTTTTAGTTGTTGCTTCACCTGACAATACCTGTTGTAAAGGATGATGTGCCAATCCAGCAACAGCAGCTACAAAAATATATTTATAATAGAATATGTACACAAATATAAATGAGATTATAAAAATTAGAATTATTTAAAAAGAACTACATACCAAGGATACTCATACCAAATCCAGTTAATCCTTGATAAAGTCCTTGTGCCATACCCTGTGGGCGCATTCTTCTGGCTTCTTCCTGACGTTGAAGATGTTCTTCATCTAGTGTTAATCTATCCAAATTTCGAGCAACACTAGACGCTAATTTTGTCACCGAATTAACTGTACCTATATAAGAACATAAATAAATAAATATAATTCAATGAAAATTTCAATATTTTAAAATATGTGTGTGTATTCATACAGGGTGTATATATATAAAAATAAAACTATTTACCTGCTGTGATATGTTTCATTAAACTAGCAGATCCATGTGTTATGCCAACAATAAAACCCCAAGGTCCTTGCAACAAGCCTTGAAATGGAAGAGAAACAAAATCTCTAAGACCTGAACCAAGTGCTTGAGCTAAACCTCCAGGTGATCCAAGTATTTCTAAGGATCCAACTACCCAACCTGAAATCAATTTTATTAAATATTCATACTTATCAATAATATTTATTAACTTAAACTTACCAGCGCCAAATATAGCTCCAGATAAATAATGCATAGTAAGTGCATTCCCTAGTCTATACGTTGTAGTTAAAATATTTTTCCTTTCAAAAGTACTAAAATATAATGGTGAATGATCCAATGCCACATATAAGCGTACAGATGTATGTACACTGAGTAAAATTGATACTGGATCTATTGTAAAATGTTGTAATCTTAATGGCACGCTTAATATTTTGGCATCGATCATGATATAATCTGATACATAAATAGTTGTTGATGTTAATACTGGTTGAGTCTTTTTTAACATACTAGTTGGAGAACTAAACCGTGGTGGTATCATAGAATTTGCATAATCTAATAAATGACTAATATATGTATCTTCAATATAAGCACTAATAGGTGCAATTTTTAAGTGCAACTCCTTTGACACTAAAATAAATCATTTTGATTAGTATATATACATAATAATTATAAAACACAATTTAAACAAAAAAAAAAAAAAAATGGAATTATTCATACCTATTATTTGTCCATTTTTCTCCCAAATGTAATCAGCAGTTATCAAAGAATTTTCTTTAATTTGTTCCATATTATTTATTAAACAATTAGATGGATAAAATGTTTCTCTTGTTGTAAGTGGACTTTGACTGATTAATACTACTGGAAAATCAAAACCTCCTTGATCAAATACTTGATTATCTAATTGTAAATCTCCTATACATATACAAAAGTTAACAAGAGTAGGTTTTGCGTGTAAAGTAACAATTAAATCTGTCATAGACAAACTTGCTACTTCAGTCTTTTGACCAATCTCATTAATATCTTTCAATATAATAATAGTAATTCCATGAAAATAAATAGTTGCTGAACCTTCTCTGTTATTTACCGTTGCGTTTGATTCATTTATTGTTTTAACTTGATATTCATCATGATTTTTATTGCTACTTTCGTGAGGAATTAATAATTTTAAATTTGTTTGCGACGACGATATAGAAGAATTTGTTGCTGGAACATCCTCTTGTGCTGAGAAAAAACTAGTTGCTGATGTTGAGCTACTAGAATATTGTATGTTAAGAAAATCTTGATTATCTTCTATTAAAGTTTTAAAATTCTTTGGAATTATTTCCACTTCTTTCAATTTATGTTCCTTGCGCATTAATCGATTTCTGATATCTCTAGCAGACACTTCTATTTGTGAGATAGGAACGACAGTAATATGTGTAGTATAGCAACGATTGTGCATGATTAATTTAACATCTCCATAAGAAGGTAATCGAACATAATGATCCATAGGTATATTTGTCAATGCAGACAGACTAATGCCGCGTGACCATTGCAATTCCTTTCGTTGTATTGCTTCATTGTTATATGTATTAGGTAATGCAGATAATAATAATATATTAGATGTAGTTGGTGCAGGAGTATCAGGTAATCGGTTACCAATGCATGGAAGAGAATAATGACACGTAGCACCAGTTTCCACTTCACAGATCCATGTAAAATGTGGTGCATCTAATACAATTCCATCTACATTCTCATTAGCTTGTCCCAATAAAAGTTTATAGGGACACATATTTTCTAGCAATAGTTGAGGATGGTTATCAATATGTACCATAATATATGATGTACCTTTGTCTTCTTGAATAGTTAGTACTACTGACATAGTAGTAGAGCCATTTGGAATAGCAACACACTTACGACTCATGGTTTGATCTATTTTAATTGGACAGGACCATCTGTGTCCTAAGCTCAGAGAAATATATAACACAAGAGATTCAATGTTACTGTTTTCATATAACATATGCCATTGAACAATAGGTGTAGCTTGATGTTGATCTTCAGATGGTAGAATATTTTGACTGTAAGGAGTAAGATCGTGAGGTAACTTTAAATCTTTTGATAATTCATCAACTGCAAGTGTAGCAATGCATAATTCTTGATTTGTTAAATTTCCAATAACGTGACTACTTGTTACTCTCACTAAACGCATATCTTCGTGCATGCTAGAAGTAATACTAATTATAGTCACGCTAGATACGCAATCAACAATAGTTTTGATGTTGCCTTCAACAGGAATTAATCCTCCTATACGAGGCATATAAAAACTTTGACTCCAATCTGGTCTGGCTAATTGAAGAGCTGGCGAAGTATAATAAGTATCACCAATACCAACACCTAAATGAAATACACCTTCTAATTTTGGTGGTGTTACAATTCCATAATGAGGAACTTGACAAAGTTCGATATCTTCAGAGACAAGAGAAATATAACATCCTAAAGAATTTAATATGAAACACCATGGTTGTAATTCCAACAAAAGTGTACTTGATACTAATCCAGCATCTTGATATTTAACTTGAACGTGAGTTTGTGGTTGTTCAGCAGGTATCCAGTCTGCTGTATCGTCCGCTTGAAAAGGCCATCCTATTTCATCCTTTTGACTTTCTAATTCTTTCAAAATATTATCTATATCTTCTACTTCAGGTCTTCTAAAAAATTTTCTTTGATCAACTGAACTGTACGATAATGGTACGTATGGATTAGATGCACAAATTCCAGATTCTAATTGGAATGTTAATTGATGGAAGTGTTCGAATGTACCAGGACAATACAATTGCTGACGTTCACCACGTCCATTCACTATTGTACTTGATAACATTTTTAACGATGGTGTTTCCATTTGTACTTTAGCTGGTACTGGTAAATGCGATCGTATCATATAAAGTGGACTCAATACGGCAAGTATCTTAGTTTTTTCTTGAACAATTTGTGTTATTATTCGCACCCAAATACTAAAAAATTGACCACGCTCTTGTAAAGGCACTTTTACGAGCCAAGGTTGACTCAATTTAGCATTCGGCTGAAGAGGTATATCTCCTGTCCATGATAAATTTGGTATATTCGTAAAACGTAAACGCATTGCCATTTTTCTGTTATTTTCAATAACAATAGTCGATGGTTGACTTTTTCCAAGTAACATATAAACATTTTTTGATACGGTTACTTTGGTACCAGTATCAGCTTCATATTTAACTAATTTCATTTCAAAATTATCTATTAATTGACTTGACACTATAAATTGTCCAGTAAAAGTAACAAGTTTTTGCGTAGCTGACAATGATGTAATATTTACAAATATGGTAATATCAACCAATGGATTTGCAAATTCTACCAAATGTGTTCCATCCGTATTTACTGGAAATGGTCGACTCCACATCCAAGCATTAGCTTCTATCGATATTCGTATCATATTATTGCCAATGTGTCTCCATGAATAAAAATTGCATTCTCTGGTATTTAATAATACGTTATCATCTGTACCACTTTGTCCAAAACGAATTGGAATATTGCAATCATTGGCTATAACATATCTCGTTAATATAATGACACCTTTGTTTTCTGTATTTAACGATGCAGACCATAAATAAGAAGATACAGAAAGAGTGTGTGTTATTGTTGGACTAAGTTTTAACGAGAAAGGTTTACACATTACAGAAATATCAATTTTATCTGATAAAGAAATTTGAAATTTTCCATCTAATGGATCCAATACTTCTTGCATAATTAAATAACTATAATCCAATATATGAATACTAATAACACCATTAATATCGACAAGTGTAGAGCCATCTGTCCATCTATTAAAAACAAGTATGGCACCTTTGTGTTCTATCGACATGAAACATTGCATTTCAGGAATAGTGCCTTTCACCGTAAAATTATGCAAAGGAGGAAGTAAAGAATCATAAGTAGATGAATCTATATGATTGTACAGTGACACATGAATAATACCAATGTTTAAAGCAGCTTGTAGATTTGGTATTATCGATGAATTAAAATAAGAATCAATGCGTAAACAGGCTGCCAATGCTCTAGCAGATACAAGAGTTTTTGAAACAGAATTATTAACAGGCATCATTAATATTACACGCCAAACACATGCCACTACTCGTGTTGGTGCTTTTTCAGGAAGATCCAATCGATAAGTATCAGTTTCTGATAAATAAAAGTCAGCATAATGTTGATAAGCCATATGACTGTCACTCCAGTATTGTAAAACACAGGATATTCTATCTGTATAAAATCCTTCATTGTCTGATGTCTAAAATGAAATATAATTGTTAAATAATTGATGATAAAGTTCCAAATAATATTCATTATAAATAATATAATACACTTACTTCAAATGGTACGGGAGAGACATGTATTTTTGTTAAAGTTCTAGGTTGAGGATACCTCCAAGCCATTGCTTGTTGAGGATAAGTAAAAAATATGACCTGCAAATATAATAAACGTAAATAAAACCTTTTATTTCCAATAAAACATATATATCTTACCTGATATGGGAAAGGTAATTCATCTCCTGTACCATCTATAAACTGGAATGCACCAGCTTTTAAATCATCCTTGTAATGTTGTTCAGTTGATAACACAACTTGCATTTCACGACTGTTATCCTTAACATTAGATGTTTGAAAATGACTTAAAAGTAGCTGACAATCTTCTACCACTGTTTTCATAATTTGAATTTGATCTGGCCCAATATCAAGATAAATACTGTCACTGTCTGCTTGTATTTGTATTTGAGGTAGAGCTTCAACATCTTGCCAAGATTCCCAAAGAAGACAAACAGTTATGTTATAACACCATGGTTTTAATAAAACTTTCATATTTCCATTAAGAATGGCAGATATAATGAAAGACTCGACAGATATATTTGAGAATATTCTATCTGGTCTTAATAACGTTGAAATATTTCCATTTAATGTTGCCAAACTAATAATTATTTCCGAATCAGAGCTAGTTTTCAAAGAGAGTACAATTTGTTTCGTACTTAAATTTAAATCTGGTAAATACATCTTTTTACATTTAAATGGCAATTGATCGTTCATAGTTTTATTATCATCTGCATCTTTCATAGATGATTTCGTATTATTCTCATCAATAAAACACGACATAATCTAACAAACAAAATAGATTACATATACTTATTATGTATAGTAATTTAAAATAAAATACATTTGATACACACGTATATTTCTTTTATATAATACCTTACTGTTTATGTCATATATTTGATTTAGCCTTGACAATGAAAAATGAATTTTTGTAGGTCGACCCATGTCCATAAAGAAATGAGTATTTTTTCCAGGATATTTTTCACATTTTACTGTTACAAATGATGGTGGAATACCAGTGTCCGGATGTGGTTCGCCATTTTTCGTTTGTATTATAAAAATAGTAAAATCTTTTTCACTTGGTATTGATCTTAAATCTTGTGCATCTTTTGCACCTAATGCTATTGTCATATCAAAACAAGAAATCTGCAATAATATATATATAATATAAATATATACTTGTGATAGTATTTCTTTAAATAAAAATGAATTTATTAAAAATAATAACATACTTGCATCTTTTGTGATAAATTTTGTTGCCAAAGATAAAGATTTGGTTGATTAATCATTAAATAAAGTAATGGTTGTTTTAAATTACCGGTATCATCTTCATCCGCATCATTCATTTCCTGTAATAATACATAAAACAAAACAAAACTTGTAATATATTTATTTTTAATTATAATTTCAATTGTTATCAAATATATAGAAAAATGACTTACTACTTCATATTCAGAATTAACATGTATCTTTTGTGTTTCGTAAGATATAAAAGTAATTTTTCCACAATTTATTAAAAATTCACATGGTGGAAGTATCAACACTTCTGAGAATTGTGATTTCTCCTATTACGATAAAATAAAAATAAAAATTAGAAAATAACATTATATTTTTCATTTATAAATTTCATTAAATACAAAATATCAATATTACATACAACAATCGTTGAATTTATGCTAGACATTTCAAAGTCAATACCACTGTCCTTTGTAACATCTATTTCTTGTTCCTCAGACATTTGTTTTATCCAAGTAACTTGTTTTGGTATTGGTGAACTTTTGTCATTTTTATCATAAGAAACATCTGTTATTTCTATCTCCTGTACGTCTCCCGATAGTAACATGTTACATTCGTTAGATAAAATGGAAATTAATTTCAGTTGATCTAAATTAACTGTTATTTCAATATCCGTGATACAATTTATTTCTACAGCACTTCCACAAACTATTGTATCAGGTTTAAGTTTGATCGTTGGAGCAATAATCAAACAGAGATCAAACCTGCACATACAAAAAATTCAATTAAATTATAGAATTTATATATATGTGTCAATATTATTAAAAAAAAAAAAAAAAAAAAAAAACTTACTTAGCTAGTACAGGAAAAGTTGAGAAATGTGGTTCCAAACTGTTCCCATTTCCAAGTTTGTTCCATTCTAAAGCAGGATTCTCATTCATTGTATAAAGATAAGATTGAGACATACGCTGAAAAAATAAAACTTTCATTGAAAATATGTTACCAATTGAAATATTGTTAAATATTATATCAGACCTTATTAATACTCATTTGATAATTTTTCCATGTAGTGCTATATACACATATACCCTTCACATTAATTTGATATTGACGATCTTCCACTGCAGAACCTGGCATATTTAATATATTTGCTTGTGCTGCAAGTTGATATATATCTGATCGTAATGGTGTTCTACAAATTGGATTTTCTGCATGCGGTGTAATACGAATACCATCAAGCTAAATTATAGAGAACAATAAAATTGTATATAATTTGTTTTTCAAACTTAAATTAAGATGAATAAACAAAGTATTGGATTGTTAGGAAAGTAATTTCATTTTTTTTCTAACACAATAAATGCATGAATTGATGCAAAATGGCAAATAACAACACGTGAGATCGGTGACAAGTTAAATTAATCAAATTCAACTGTTTATGCTCACTCAAAAGCCCTAGGTTTTAACTTTGAAACAATAATTGTTTTCATTTTCACAAAAAAAGAAATGAAATTACTTTCCGAACAATCCAATATATTTATAATTACCTGTAAAATTAATAAATCATGTTGTAATCGATGTCTAGCAGGTGTAGATACTGGTATCATAAGTCTTAATCCTTTAAATTCTAAATGTATCAATGGTAAAAATTCATTATTAATACTTGTAATCTTTGCTAATGTTGATGTGATGATTCCTTCTTGATTGCTTTTTGTTACTTTTGGATATTTTTTATTTAAATGAATAAGAGGTTTTGCCAATTGCATATATTTGCTAAGTATACTTAAAGGTAAAATAATATCAACCATTTGTATTTTTATATCTATTTCAGAGATGTATGCATTTGTTGATACTAATGCTTCTGTTATAACATCTTTCTGTAAAATATAAAACTATTATTAATATTACAAACATTTCAATCTTTTATATATATATATTCGTACCTTATTATTTTTGTAGCGTTTGTAAGTACCCCAACGATTATGAACATTACCCGATTGTGCTCGTGTTAAAGTAAAACTTAAGAAACCAGAATCATCTCCCTTTTCTAAATTATCTTCTCTGCCACATAAAATTATACCGACATATTCTCCAACGTCCCAATTTTGTGCATAAGGTGCTCTATACAAAATTAAGTTCAATTTCATTAAAAAAAAAAAAAAAAATTGTATTTCTATACACAAAGAAAATAATTTGTGTAATAAATTAATAATACAATAAAAAGATACCTTGTATAATGAAATATCGTAACTGTTGTGATTTTATTTTTTAATTTTAAATAAACCGGTTGTAAATCTAATGAAGTAATAATATCTTCCATTTCCATGACTAATTTCAAAGATGGTTTTATTTCTTGTCCCGTGACATATAATTTAATAGCTATTTTTGTTATTGTCCATTGAATCCATGCGGTTAATGTCACATTATCTTTCTCTGAAATGATATTACATATTATAGAAAATAAATTGAAGAAAAAAAAAAAAGAAAAAAGATAGATTTTATTTAAAAATTTACCTGTAATGGTATCATCTCTTGATGTAGATATCGTTGAGTTTGTAGTTGTATCTTCTGGATATATAATTTGTGTAGGTGTAGAAGGGGTTTGTGGTATGGCTGGAAAAACGACTACATTCTCGTTAATGATATGAGGTACGACAGTGTTACTTTCTTTAAAATTATTTGTTATTAGTAAAATATTCACAATTTTTTGTATTATACTGCTCATGAACACAACCTACAAAAAATAATATACATTAGTTATAAACATTAATAAAATAATACACACATATATATATATATATATTAAGATATTATATTACCTGTTCTTCTGAAATGGAAATGATAATAGCTGAATTATCAATATGAACACAAACACTCAATGCAGTAAGAATATTTGAAGCTTGGGATGTAGTAGTTTTCGTAGTAAGAGCTAAAGTTGCATTTAATGACATTTTTTTAATAAAATTTTGTTGTATATCTCCTTGTAATGTATAACAGTGAAATTCGGAAAGACTTAATGTCCAAGGAAAACTTTGTACACCTAGATAAATAAAACAATAATAAGGATTTGTTCTAATATCACATAAACATTCGACATATTAAATAAACACTTACGATATGTCCACATTGATTTAGGCAACTTTACTGGGAATGTTTTAAGATAAGGTGATAATTGTTCGGAATTAATATTACTTGAATGAATCTGAATACTTGGTAGTTTTAAACTTAATATCTGTAGATGTTGATCTTCTTCTAATGCTCGATTTTTGGCTTGTTCTATACCTGTTATGAGAGATTTTATTTATAAAGAAGACTCTTTCTTAATAAACAAATAATATTGAGATTATAAATTGAGATATAAACTATCCTATCTTTCAAGTTAGATGAAACTGCACACAGTGTGCAAAATTTGATTAAAATCAGTTCAGTAGTTTACGAGTCCATTGCGGACAAACAACGTGACACGTAATTTATATATATATATATATTAAGAAGAAGAAGATTACCATGTGCTCCTATACCGCTCATTGTAGTCGATGGTATATAGATAACAATATGACCAATACATCCACTTAAAACAAGACCAGACCACCATGAATAGAGTTCGGCTAATCTGACCAATACTCCTGATTTCTGCAAGTTCTATCATGGTCTATGCGTAAATGTAATATATTTTGCAACAAATAATATAATTACATTATCTAATAGATATATATATATATATACATATATATTTTAACTCATTCATCTAACATATAAAATATCTTTGTACTTAAGATTAAACAAAATCAAAATAATAAAAGATAAATATAATTAATTGTACCTTCTGTTCTGTATCAATTTTAGATTCATTCTTTTTTTGAGTTTCCTCATTTTGAAGCATTTTTGGTTTTTCAACTATCGTAGAAGATCTTTTTCTATCCTTGTCAGAAGAACTGTGAACACTTTCATGCAAGCTTGGAAATGTTTTTTTTCTTGTACTGGTGTCAGACGATGCACCCTCAGCAGATAATTGGCTGTCTTGACGCATTGTACATAATGGTCCCAATTCGTAATAAGTAACTTGATATTCCAACCATTTCAAAAAGAGTGGATCTAAGGAACCTCTTAATTCTGCTACTTGAAGTGAGATAAGTGTTGGATACGTTTCTACTGGAGCCTTTTTAGGAAACTGTATTACAGCAATTAAAAGAGGTTTGTTTTCCGTTTCGCTAAATACAAATATAAATATTATTTTAAAATATCAAATAAATTTGAATTATTAATATCATTTTAATTATTATTTATATTTATATAATAACCTGTTAACATCATATTCTGGACCTGAGAGTATAAATGCTTGCTGGGTATCGCTAAGTGTAAAAATCTTCAGAGAATTTACACTTATTTCATTAACATTCATCATAAATGTTGAAAGCCTTTTGTAATTGATATTTTCCAAGAGTAATTCTAAATAAATTGGATCTGTAACATATTAAAGAAATGTGTGTAAAATAAAATACTTTATTTATATCCTTTTTTTTTTTTTTTAATAATATTAATATAAGTTAATATAATAAAAAAAAAAAAAAAAACATTCTTATATAAGGTGCATTTGAAATAATTAAAACTAACATTTATATTAGACGACTGGACATACTTTTGTCTTGGCATGCATCACTAAAGAGAGAAGAACAAACAAGAGGATTTGTTGTTTCAGTGGAATCAAGCAATGATGTTATTATAGAAGTGGCAACCATCAATTTTGGTTTAGTTCCCGTAATAGTAATACTATCAGTATGAAACGTGTATGTTTCACAAATTAAATCTAGATGAGTCCAATATTGTGGATAAAGTAATTTTTTAAGAGAACATTTTACAAAGCATGGCATCATTAATGATGTATGACAATTTGTTGTCAAATATAATTGACTCTTTATTCCATAAACCTAAACAAAAATGTTCATGTTGATATATGTGATCTTAAATTTGTATAAATGAAAAAATTAATACAATAATACCTGCATTTTAATAATTTGATGACATTGTTCAAACATTTCTGGTAATAATCCAGTTTGTTTGGAAGCACAAGCAGTAAGTCTAAATGGATACAAAGGTTGAATCATATGTGCAGTTGCTTTGTCAAATTCAATGCTTACAAAAGGATCATTTGTAAAAGCTGGTGTTAAAGGTACAGTCTGTAATAGTCATGACTACATGAAATATATTTACAACTATAGACAACACATTCATTAATTTGTATAATTTAATATTTACCCTATTTTCAACTATTTTACGCTGACGTGGTAATCCAGTAATGCAATGATCAGCTAATTGTAATTGTAAAGAAGCTTTTATAATAAACAAATAAGTTTTAACCATTGATACATTTTCTCTCAAAGCTTCAAATTCTTCTAATGTAACTGGAGGAAGTTCTTCAGCAGAAGGATCTCAAACATATAATTACATCGTTTAAAATATTGTACAAAAGAAAACAAAAATAAATTTAAATTATACATATATAGCTCTTACCAGGTTTTGGTATAATATATGGTGTATAATCATATTGCGAAGCAGCTTGTTTTATTGTCTCTATACGATGGAAAATTCCTGAACACAATCTGATCGTTATATCTCCAATAATATATCTAATCACTCTTTGCTCCTGAAAGTTACTACAACGTATAAAAAAAAAAATTGCAATTATAAAATAACACTGCATAATCTTCATCATATTTTTTGTATATTTTATAAGATACGAATTTTGTTCTTACCTATATTCAAAATTGGAACCAAGTTCTGCTAACTTTTCAGTTGTTATGTCATCTGGAAGTTGTACACAATGAACATAATCCATTACAAAAGCTGGACTCCTTTTCAATAAATTTTCCACTGAAATGAAAAATAAAAGTATTTGTAGATCTATTAAAATTATATTTGTTTAAATTATATTCATTGTAATACCTGAAACAGTTACTAAATGATAATTTATCCCTTCTTTATAAGCCCTTTTCTTTCCATTATTTTCTAAAGCATCATTATCAAATAATGAATCTTTTAAATAATTTCTATTGACTTTTCCTGCTGTTAAATAAAGAGGTGGCTAGAAAAAAAATGATATTTATAAATTAAACAAATATTCTTATATTAATATGATATAATTATTTTTAAAAAAATATACCTGTGCACCATCAACAACTTCAAGGTGTCCACAACTGCAAGTTCCTCTGGGATAAAGGCGTATGTTAGCCAAACCAATTTGAACATTAGTCATTTCAATACCTTGCAGTATTACATCCACTAAAACTCCATTCAATCGTAATGATAAAAACGATTTGTATCTAAGCTTTCGTGACTTGTAAAACAATTGTTCTTTCACACTTTCAACAACCTACAAAGAAAACTTTAATATGTATTCGTAATAATATTAAATAAAAATAATAATTCATCATTGGATATACCTTAAAAGTTAAAATAGTATCATCGATATAAATGCCTAAATGAATAGTGTGCCCAGAATATGCCATTTGTTGTTGACTAGACCAATCATTATCCCAATCAGCAAAACCAGATGTAACCCAATCAATTGGTAAAACTGTAGAGGCTACATTCCAAGCCCAACCACCCCAACCAACTGCTTCAGTGATTGTTCCAATTATTTGACTAATTTCATCTAAAATATTTTACATGTAAAGTTATAAAACAACTGTTGTTAATAATAAACAAATAATATAGCAAGATAAATAAAAGAAACCTTGGCCTGTTTCTTCTCCAGTCTCAGAATTTAGTGATTTTTCTTTACCAATTGGAAATTGTTTTGTTTGTAAAGCCACTAATAATGATGCTAATCTAAGTAACATTGGTATTTGTTGTTCAGTCATACTAAATTCCATTTTCTCACAGTGAAGATCTAAACGTGTAACAGATGCCCTTTTAGCAGTATTACTATGATAATTTACGATTAAACGTATGGCCAAGGAACATCGATATAAAACAGGATCCTGGGATTTCAAATAAATGTGTGTGATATAACTTCTTTTTATATTTAAAAAAAAAATATAATATTAAACTTATAAATAAATCTAAAATACCTGATAAATTTCTATTTTTCCAGAAGCATCCATTTTATCTAAGCATAAAGTTAAATCTTGAATGGTAATAACTTTTCTGAGCATAACTTCAAAAATATTAACATCTGTAAATAAATATTATTAAATAAAAAATACTATATTTTTAAAAACGATAAATATCGAAATAATTTTCTAACAATAATTACCAGTAAATGCAGGTTTCCATTTATCGTCAACAGTTTGAACACTTAAAAACCTAACATTTACACTCAGCACGATATCTTCTTCTACATATTTTAATATTAAATTGTTACAATGAATTGTTATGTTGTTAACAATTTTTGTAATAATACTTTTGATATATCCAGGCGGTGCTACTTCTCTGTTGAAATTATATATCATTGTTTTTTTTTTTTTTTATTTAAATTAATGTTACAATATTATAATATAATTACTTACTGAACCATTTCTTTTTTCTTTTGCATGGTAGGTTTTCTGATTTCTGTGCTTTTTTCATCTTTTAATTTTAATATACATTCTATAATAAAAAAAAAAAATAAATTAATATAACATTTTGAAGAGAAATTTGTTTCTTTTATAATTTATTAATATAAATATTTACCTATTGTGTTAATCGTTACCACTATTGGTTCTGAATTAATTTTTACCCATGGAACGTGTATTAATAATTCATGTATATGACCACTGACAAATTTAAATGGTAAATTTAATTGTTCCTCTAATACTTCTAATCGTAAATCCAAATTTTGAAAAGATGCATCGCCACCCCATAAGGATACCTAAAATATATGAACAAATATTATGCAATTCTTTCATTTGTATTATTTTTATTAATAAATCATACCTGCGATTGTTCCGGTTTAAAATTTTTAACATACTTCTCAACATAGCTGAGAATTATAGGTGTTATATAGGATTCCAATTTGAACATTGTGATAAGGAATATGAAGTATATAACATAGTTTTGTTAAATCTTTAAATTCCTCTTCGATAAAAATTTATATTTAATTTGGTATGCCAATATAATTGGTTATTATTCTAGACAACAATAAATATCACTTATTAAAAAAGTAATGTAAGTCCATTTAAAAATAAATATGAAAACACATAACTCTGATGATTTTTATTTATAATTAATGAAAATGACGTGTCTTCTCGATTATTTTCAAAATAAACTTACATCACTTTCACAATAAACGATTCATTTATTGAAATCAACTAACATTAACCTTTTTTTTTTAACAAATGCCAAATCAGCTGCACTTGTACAAGATGTTAAGCAACACACGTCCCAATGTAATCCGATTTTGTCAACTTCTTTTAGGTTAGAAAACAAAAGATAAATTAAATTGTCAAATTAATAATTAATTATTTCAATCCAACTATAATATTAAATATCACAGAAGTTTGAATCATTTTGAACTAATATTTAATTTGTCAAATGCATTTCTATACTTTAAATATAACTAATGACTTTTTTCTATCTGTCAAACGTAGGTGGTAACACTGCATTGTAGTATTATTCAATTTCGATATATATCGATCAATGTTAAATATTATCGATAATATAATCGATATTTTGAAAATAGAAAATATTCCAATTTTGTTTTAATTTAATTTTTCTTATAAAATTTCTTGATAATGATCTAAAAAAAAAAACAAAACAATAAAATGAACAATAAATAATTTAAAATAAAAATTACCTTGTCTTTCTTTTTTACTTTTTGTTTTAGATTTATTAATATAAAAAAGGTTATTTTGTTATTGCACTTATTGTCAATCAAGATTTACATAATTTTTATTACATTGTTAGTCAAGATTTATATGATTGGTTATTCAAAATGCACTTAATATGCATTTTGTAAATCGGATCTGTTTCAATAAAATTTATCAACGATTAATGAAAATAAGCCTTTCAATCTGTTTTATTACCTTCAGAATGGAAAATTTGTAATGGTCGGTTAGTATTGCATGGTATAGTAAATCACGGTTCCGAGAATAATAGTTAAAACATTACAATAATTATTCGAAATGAATCCTTTGATATATTCGAAAACTTTAACGAATAATCATGGAAGATTAATTAGACGTACGTATTTTTATTATCCATTACTCCTATCACCAATTAAATAATTATTTTTCTAAAAACAACTTATATATAGTAATTGCGTATTGTGTGTATTTTTTTTTATATGTATGTATATGATAAATCATTAAGAGATCAATATTATTATATTTACATAACAATGGAAAAATACAGTGTACATGAGATGTAATAGAAATTCTGTTTAAATGATTATATCATTTCTATAATAATTGTCTTAACTTGTTATCTTATTTTAATATGCGTTGTACAGGTTATATTTTCATATGGTATCAATTCATTATACTATTATGCATTTATTTATTTTTTAATGTTTATGTATGAATTGTTATCTTAAATTTGTATTTTTTAATTATGTTTAAATAGTTAATAATATATTTTCTTTAATGTGCAACATTTAATATAAATATTTGTATTTATTAATTAATAATTTGTGTCTTTTTATCTTTCAGAATATTGGTGTCTAAAATCATGGTATAGTAGTAATCATACTAATTCTATTCCAAGTCTTATATGTATAGATTTAAAGAGATCAACATGCAATCAAACTTCAACAGACCTTGTTCTATTGGATACTCATTCAAAAAATATGATGTATCTACAAACTCGTTCATTTTCGAGATCTTTCATATACCATGGTCAAGAACCATCATCTAAAATTGAAGAAACTGTTAAAAATATCAAAGAACGAAAAGAATTGAAAGAAAAATCAATCGAAAGTAAATGTCAGCCTATTGTTTCATCGACTGATAAAGCTTTAACAGAAAAGAAACCTCCATTATTGGAAAGAGTGAAAAATGAAATATTACATTATTATCATGGCTTTCGATTACTAGGATTAGATATGAAAGTTTCTGCCAAATTGATTTGGAGAATCTTACAGGGTAAAGAATTAAGTAGAAGAGAACATAGATTGGTATGTACTTGTAAAATTCTTCAAATTATAATTTCAGTTTTAATCTATCTTATATTATATCATGTTTAATAATAATATAAGTAAATTCACAATGTATAAGAAGTATTATTGGAATTTTGCCAAATATTGGCTTAATGTTTTTAGTTTGATAATAATCATCTTTTATTATTTAAACATTATGTATATTTAATATTAATTTATTTATTGTTAGCTCGTTAAAACAACAGGAGACGTGTTTAGATTAATACCTTTCTCCGTATTCATCATTGTACCATTTATGGAATTCTTACTTCCCGTTGTAATTAAATTCTTTCCTGGTTTATTGCCATCAACATTTCAAACAGCAGTTGAAAAGGAAGATAAATTGAAGCAAGCTTTAAAGGTAATATAATATAATATACACAATTATTAATTATATTATTAATTTCTATTGAAAATATTAATCATATTATCTTATTAATGAATGAATATATTAAATAATTATTTCAGGTTAAAATTGAGATGGCCAAATTTTTACAACAAACGTTAGATGATATGTCATTACAATCATCTGATCATAAATCTGAAAAAGCCAAAGAGTTTGCTGAATTTTTTTATAAAATTAGAACAACCGGTAATGTGGCGAGTAACGAAGATATCATGAGATTTAGTAAACTTTTCGAGGATGAAATTACTTTAGATTCCTTATCTCGACCACAATTAATTGCTTTATGTAGAGTATTGGACGTTCAAAGACTTGGTACTACAAACTTTTTACGTTTTCTACTTCGAATGCGATTAAGAAGTCTTGCTGCTGATGATAAGGTATGTTTTTGATTGATTATGCTTAATTTTAATGAAAATTATTATAAATACAATCTTAATTCTTTATTTTTTTCAATGAACAGTTAATTCAAAAAGAAGGTGTAGATAGTTTAACGAGGAGTGAATTACAACAAGCTTGCAGAGCACGTGCTATGCGAGCATATGGAATGCCAGATGCTAAACTAAGAGAACAACTATCGCAATGGTTAGATTTAAGTTTGAATATAAAAGTACCACCAAGTTTACTACTTCTATCTCGAGCACTTATGGTACCTGACACCATTCCTATGTCAGACAAATTAATAGCAACTATATCAGCATTGCCTGAAACAGTGGTTGCACGTACTACATGTGCCATTGGAGAGAAAGAAGGAAAACTTGATCTTAAAGCAAATATTGAAATTATTAAAATGGAAGAACGTAAAATTGAGGAAGAGAGAGAAGAACAAAAACAAAAAGAAAAGAAGGAAGCAGAACCAATACCTATTACTTTTAAAAAGGAATCTAAAAAAGATGAAATTACAGCAACTGATGTAAAAGTTATTGAACAAGCCCTTGAAACACTGGACAAGGTTTGTATTTTAATTAATGGATATTTTTTTTTTTTTTTTTGTACCTTTTGTACCTAATAATACAAAATTTATTTTTATTATATTTTAGGATAAAAAGAAAATGACTGTAGAAAAGGAAGAATTGAAAGAGCTTAAGGAAGAGATGGCAGAATATCAAGAGGATGTTAAAGAATTATATCAAATAAAAGCTGAAGCAAAGGGTGAAGTTGATGTTGACAATATTAAAATATCCAAAGGAGCTAACAGATTATTTAATAAAATTAACAAGATGATTCAGAAGGCTGATGCAGTTTTATTAGAACTAGAACAATCAGAAAAACAAGTTAAAAAGAAAATACAATCTTTAAGTCCAGAAGAACAAAAGGAATCTAAAACTGTTGAAGAATTAGTCAAAATAGATGAACTTATTGCAACTATAAAACAAATACAAAATGTATCAGATCAACCTAAAATCAAAAGAATAGCTGAAATATTAAAACAAATGGACGACGATAAAGATGGTGCTATTAAACTTGAAAATGTTTTAAAGGTATGATTTATAATATTGAAATATAATGAGAGATGATATATATTGTAATTAGAATATTATTATATTTATATTTAAATATTATTCTTTTTGTAGATTATAGAACTTATAGAAAAAGAAGATGTGAAATTAAATAAAAAACAATTAGATGAACTAATTGAAATGATGGATAAGGAAGAAATATTAGAAGCAGATGAGCAAATTCAAAAAATCTTACAAAAAGAAAGTCAATGCTCGCAAGAAGTGCCTGTTCCACCAATTTCACCAGTTCCTGCTACACCCGTTACAAAAGAAAAACCACTTGGAAAAGAAGAATTAACAGATGATATTTATGAGCCTAAAAAAAAATTTAAAATTTCAACCATTGAAACAAGTAGTACAGAAAAATCAGCCGAAATTTTAACAAGTAATTCCAAATCCAATGTGGACAATCCATCATTAACACCAGGTGTTCCACCTAAAACAAAACAAACAGAAGGTTCTAAACAACTATGATCATCGCACAATAAAATAATGAATTAATTTTATTTTCAAAGTAATTTTTTTTTTTTTTTTTTTTCATTTACTTTGAAGAAAATACGTACAATATATTATAGGCATAATTATTTTTTATTAATCACGATTTCTAGCAAAGTTCTTATAATTTTTTTGTGCAAAAATTAATTATTTATTTAAAGCCTACAATAATAATGAACTCGTGATACTGATCTGTACATAGTACACAAAGATGATGCTTATATCTAAAAATATATTGCATACATTTGTATATTATATACATAATAGTTCCAGTGATAATTTACTAAAGGATAGATTATCTTTGAAATAATTATTAATTATTAATAGTCTTTTCATTAAGACTGCGATGCATTTAACAGCATCTATTATAATGTTTTGTTTTGCAAGTGTGTGGATACATTTGTGCTGGTTACAAATGGCATGAGTGTTAATATGGATATAATATATATATATATCAAATTTCATGTTTCAAAATAACTTACACAAAGGAAAATCATTCCATTTGAATAATGAATGCTGTATTTGTCATCTTACATTAAACTAGATTTACATCGTCATTCAAGATTCTTTTGCAACAATATCGATATTAATTGTCTCTGATTATTAATTATATATGTCTTTTTGTGAAATAATATTTCAGACATATATATATATATATAGTATATATATATATGAGTTATTCCACGACTGTAAAATAAAACAGGACACATATACTTATTAAATATATGTACTACTGTTATATAAAAGATGTTACATAAAAATACAGTATACATATTTTTCTTACCTAAAAAAAAAAAAAAAAAAAACAAAGATGCTAAAGAATAGAATAACAGTAAAATGTATTACTGTATGTGAGGAAAGTATGCCAAAAATGGCAATGGCATTGAAAATAGTTCAAAACAAATCTGAAATTATATATAAATTACAAAAATTATTAACAAAAAATATTACATTACAAAAAGGACTATGTAAAAAAAAGTACTATCAATAATCAATTGTGTCTTGCTAAAGAAATTAAAATTTCATATTTTTAATTGAAAACTTTTAATTGTGACAGATGCTACCATTTATGAAGATCAAATTTATACAATTTCTTACCGAACAATCAAAAATATAATTGATTAAAAATAATAACGTTGGTGGCAATATTTTTATTAATACTTCTTATTAGTATTATTTATATTTAAAAAAAAAAAAAAGAAATATTCAAATTTGTTATTATTTATTATTTTGATATATGTGAATACAAAATACTATGCAACTGAATCATTCTCTGGTTCCACATCACTTTCCGAATTTTCCCCACTACCTATAAACATTTCTTCATTCATAGAAAATAACTGAGGAGGAGGCTTATTTAATCCAAATTGCATAATAGGATTTTGAAAATTTTTCAATGATAATGCTTTACAATCATTATCCTTATCTTCATCGTCAATGTTCACATATTCTTTAACACTTTTTACATCATCATTATTTACATTTAACACTTGTTTATCAGATACTGGAATATCCAATGTATTCGCTGATTTAATGGACAAAATTTGATTATGATCATAACTAATAGAATCATTATAACATAACGATTTAGAATTATTGACCAAAGAAGGCATTGGAGGTGGTATAGGTATCGAAGATTTGACGTTATTAATTTCTAAATCATTAGCACTATTTATTACATTTTTGTACATACGTTGAAGTGCTTTGGATTCTCTTTCTGACATAGTTTTATGTTTATCAATCAAAGCTTCCTTTAATTCGCTCATAAAATTCTTTGCCAGCAATTTATCCAATTTATATTCTTTTAATAAGATTTCTTCATCTTCTTCATACAAAGGTTTCAAATATTCCTCTTTAATATATTCCTCAAACACTTCATCAAGTATTTCTGGTTCTTTATCAATTATTACTGGCAAATAATCACTCACATTTTCTATTTTAATATCTTCCTTTGTATCATTCATTTTGAAATTTTTATACTTTGCTTTTGTTATTAATAAACTACTAAATTCAGCAAAATTTCTAGCTCCATCTATTTGTTTATATGCTTCATTCATTTTCTCCATCATTCTTTCTAACATTTCATTATTAATTGAAGTATCGTCAGTACAAATATCGATATCATTAATCATTGATATTATTTGATCGTAGGCCTGTTGAATTTTATTTAATGTTAAATTTAAATGTAAATAAACATCTTGCCATTTGGATGTAACGAGATTCCTAAAAATAAAAATGATTTATTAATGTGACATTAAATTTGTTATTAACATATATTTAATTGCGATCATTTACCTGTAATTATGTTGAACTGGTTCTATTTTGTAATTATAATAAGAATTAATGTATTGAGATAATTTATGATTATATTTTGTCAATTGTTTATTCAATTTATAAATAATATAAATTACATTAGCTTTGGAAATCTTATCATAAGTTGAAGACCATGTTTTAATATCATATGTAATAGCCAATAAATATAATAATTCTGATTGCATAAGAATATAAGTATAATACAATTGCTGTGTAAAAAATATACAATGTGTAATTAGTACAAAGATAATAGAATTCAGAATTTTGTTTTTTTTTTTTATATATATATAATCACCTTCAATGCTTCATAATTAATTTCTCCACGTAGTTGAAATACATTATCTTCAAACGTTGTTCTTATAATTTGATTATACAAATGTTTAGGAAATTTTGATATCATAATGGAAATGATATAATGATAAATTTGACAAATATCTTCTAAACATTTCATTAAATTTTCCATTATTGGTTGTAAGTACGTTAATCTTTCTCCCATGAGCATACTAATTTAATAAGAATAAATATTATTTCAATTTGAATATATATAAAATATAAAATTAGAACATATTATTTGTTAAATGTGTGTATATATATATACTTACTGCAATTGTTGATTAGTTTTCTTAGAATTCATTTTTATTTTATAACCGTGTTTCAAAATTTTTAATCCTTTACTACATAAATCATAAAATTCATTTTGTAATAATACTAATTGCTTCAGTTCTTTATGTGCCCATAGATTTTGGTAATTTCTATAACCAGCGTAGTATAATGTAAAAAATATTATCATAGCATTTAAAGCTTTGTTATGTTTATAAAACATTAAGTACGTAGAAGAAGCTATTATCGTACCACTAGCAAGTAAATTCTTTAACACTTTCCTGTAATAAATAAATCAACGTTTTTTATCAATGATGTCTCAACAATATATACATACATTTATGATAAAAACATACTTCCATGGAGCAACAGGAAAATATTTCTCTGCACAACTATTAATTGCAGATGCATGATCATCTAAAAGCGTTTTGGCACTTAAAATAATGTCCAATTGTTCCTTGGATAAATCACAGTCCTGTTAAAAAATAATTTCATGAAATTAGTGTACTGATTTTTATAATTCAATGAATGAATGAACGTACCTGCGTTATCCAAGATTTCAAATCTAATATGTATTTATAGATAATTTTACCAACATCTTTAATAATGTTGATATTCTAAAAAAGATATATTTAATTTATATTATAAACAAGTTGAAGTATGTAAAATTAAAATGAAGTATATATACCATATACATAGATTTCTTTTGTGGTGTCTGTTGATTTTTAAAAACTATTGCAGTTTCAAAATCTGTATATCCTGATGTAACTAAATGTTCATGTATATCACTACCCTAAAAATGATATAAAGTTATTATAATTAAATTGACATATAGGTATATTAAATTATTTATTATTTTCTATAACATACCTCAAATATAACCTCTTCATCTTCTTCTGTATCAATGCATTGACTTAACATTATTGTATTTTTTGTTGATAATTACTAAATATTCACAATTAAAAATGTTTCACATTAAATACTTTTAATTAATATATTGAAATTTTTAAAAATTTTACAATAAATATTAAATATTAAAAATTGATTAAATATAAAAAACATTGTTCAATTATTCCCTGATTACTGACAATTTCTATGAATAACACAAAAGATTAATTTATAATAACTTTAATATAGGTTATATTCATGCATCGTATAAAAACCCATAAATGATGGTATTTTCGGCCATCATACTAAAGAGGGGATGATTGTCTTAAAGTATATTTATGGAGTATCGTGTAATTTAATATTTATTCTATTTATTAATAATAATCATATTGATTATTAATCATTATATCAATATATTAATATGTAATAAGCACAATTAATACAAAAAATTAATTTATTCGTTTAATATATTAAGTTAAATATGTTTATTTGTGTAAAATGATCATTGGGTGCGTTCAAAATGTTCACATAATTAATATTTATTTTATTATATTTAATATTAATAACGTAACAATTTATTATTATTATTATTATTATTATTAATAATAATAATTTATTTGTTTGTATAATTATTTAGGACACATTCAGGTTATAAAATAGGATGTTGCATTAAGTTTTTGAAGAATAAATAGCTGTGATGGATGATGTTGATACTTCAGTGTATTATGATGATGAAAATGATTATTTCGTTGGATTTGGTCATCGTCATTTACCAGAGTATGATTATGAATACGAAGATGCAGAAGGAGAAACGTTATCTGAACTTAATGAATATTGTCTCACCCCTACGTTCTACGATACAGGATTTTATATATTACCATTGTTTCTTGCAATGTTTATTTTTCGACTTATATCACAAATGCGTAAGAATTTTGATTTATCTAATAAATATTATTTATTACACGTACATTTAATGATATTATTTAAATGTTGCAGAATCTATTTCTGATAAATTGTTTCATGGACTATCAATGGTTATTGGAATATGTATCACTCAGCATTACGCAGAAGAATGTTTATTTTTATTAGTATTATTTGTTGTATTTTCTTATATTACTTTAAATTTACCAAAGAAGTATTATAAAGAGATAGCAGTCTTTTTACCATCACTGTTTATCATTGTCTACAGGTATATATATTATTCTAACATATATTCAATTATCAATAATTAAGATTTAAATCATGATTTTATTTTACAGTGAATTTTATATGAAACCAGTCATTTGGCATAAAGTACGCAGCATTATTATGACCATGGCAATGAGAACTATTAGCGTTGCTGCAGATAGTATTGAATCTAATGACATTCCAGATTTTTATAGTTACATGGGATATATGTTCTGTGCAGCTACTTCATTCTTAGGTCCATGGGTTCCAATGAAAGATTATTTGGCTTTACGTCGACCAAATCAACAAGTATAGTTATTGTGATCTTATTATAATTCATTCATTCATTTTATCTACATTATTTTACCTGTTTTTAAGTAATTGTTATATTGTAGGGAAAGTGGTGGTTATTGATTGTAATTGGATTTACTTCTTGTTCATTCCTTTTCTTAAGTATGTCAAATTGTTGGATACATTGGATGCTTCCAGATGATTCATGGATGTTAGTATCAAAATATACAATGTTCTATTTTCATTATTGTCAATTAAAATTTGATTATGTTTTAGGTGGTTATTAGCATATAGAGATGCATTATCATTCAGAACATCACATTATTTTATTTCATATTTGGCATCGGCCATATCATTTTTAGGAGGATATCCATTCTCATTAATATCTATTGTTAAACCATTAGAAATTGAACTACCACGTTCACTCGTCCAAGTTGTTGTTTATTGGAATATGCCAATGCATTTCTGGTTAAAAAAATGTACGTTAGAAATGAACATTTGACTTATTTTAACAAGTATTATATTTGTTCATTGTTCTTTTTGTTTGTTTATTGTTTTTAGATATATTCCGTCCAAGTCTAAAGTATTTAGGAAAATTTGGAGCAGTAATTATTACATATCTAGTGAGTTCTCTTTTACATGGATTTAATTTTCAATTGGGAGCAGTATTATTGAGTCTCGGTTTATACACATACGTAGAACATCAACTTAGAATAATGTTTGCTAATATTTTCGACGCATGCATAGCATCAAAGGAATGCGCTCAAAACAAATGTACCCACTTATATAATCCTAACAATTGTTGGTGGGTTATTGCGATAAATATCATGTTTACAGTATTAACAATATTTCATTTAGCATACTTAGGTCTTATGTTTGATACTTCTGAATTACAAGAAACAGGATATAGTTATACTCATACTATTAAAAAATGGTCTGAACTTGGATTCGCTAGCCATTGGGTAGCATTAGCTACATATTGTATATATTTTTTAATACGGTAATCATACCAATATACAGTATATCATACTTTATCAATTTTTAAACACAAATTTTTATACGCAATTAGAATTTTTATAAGTTATCTAATAAAATGATTAGAAAAATATTTTGTATACTTTGTTTTCTTTTTTTTTAATCAAACTTCCATCTATTTGATAAATATATAAATGTACATGTATCTATGTATGTATGTATGTATGTATGTATAAACATATATATATATATATATATATATATGTATATAATTGAAAACGCATAAATTTGACAAACGAATATCAAAACAAATAGAAAAAATAAAGTATCGTAAGTCATAAATCTCGAAACTTATTAGAAAAAAAATGTGTCAATATTTTATATAAATTTCTTGTAACATAAGTGTAAGTATTTTTTATCAGGCAGCAAGTTTAATTATTTGTATCGATAATAATTGTGGTAATGTGTGGAAATGTTTTAAATTTAAGGCTAAAAAAAAGGATATCAAATTTTCCAATGGTAAAAATATTCAGATATACTCTCTCTCTCTCTCCCTCTAATAAATCAGAGTATATAATATATATAAATTCATTTTATATTATTAGTATTATTATTATTATTATTTAATATTATTTTGAAAAACATATAATATGTTCATTATTTTATTCACATCTTTTTTAAAAACACTCTGACAACGTATATGTTTACATTAAACTATAAGAAGAAAGATAGGTTATATTTTATAATACACTGATAAAAGTCATATTTATTAATGATTAATTAATTTATAAAAAGATAAAACACAATGTTACAAAAAGCACTTAACTTTAATCCAAAAAGAATTGCAAACTATTTGTTATTTTTTTTTTTTTTTTTTAGTAAATCTTTTCGAAAAAATCAAAACAGTTTTACTAGATCATCAAAATTTGTCCAACAGTGAGAAAACAAATCTGAGTCAATGAAGATTCAATAAGTGCACTTATTAAATTTATTTACATACTACACATGTAAAAATGATATATTTACATTTTTCTAAACAAATAATTTAATTAATTTTCTAACGTTATTTTAAATGTTTTTTATGTTTCTCTTTATAAACATATATAGTGTCTCTAGTAACATTTAAATCTAAAAAATATATCAGCTGACTAGTTTTGACAGTTCTGTATAAACATAACTTATAAGCTAGTGAAAATACTGCCTAATTTAAAGTAAATATATATTTAAAGAAATTCAATTCTTTTTTTTTTTAAAGATTAATCTATAATAATAAATAAATAAATAAATAAATAACAATAATAACTTTTTAAATTTGTTAGTAAAAAAATATTATTTAAATATATTAAATATCTTTGTTAATTTATCAAAGAGACACTATACAAAAATATTCTTATCAAAATGTATTAATAATAAAAAAAAGTAATTATAATAATTAATATATATATATAGATTCAATAATTTATTATTAACAATGGAATGCATGGAGAAAAGTCATCAAATGAATGCAATCAAATCTAAGTGCAATAATAAAATGGACATTAACAAGGAGGATAAGTCACTTGAAATGAATTTGGATATACTACATAGTACAAAAATGGATACCACACCTTATCAAGATGATGCAGACAAGAAAATTGTACTTCTTAAACATTTACTTGAAAAGGATCCAAAAGCTGCAGATTTAAAGTGGTCACTATTTGTAGCAGCATGTAATACATATCGTTGTGATACTTGTTTACGACCATTTCCACCTATGTATGTAAAAAATGAATGCAAGGATATCGAAGCTTTGGTATAATACCCAAAAATGGTTTTTATATGTTTTAACATTAATTAAGATTTATTTCAATCAGCAAATCAAATATCAATTATATTAATGGTCTTCTTATATTTCTATTTTATATATCAATAGAGAAAGACCGTAGAACTGATACCTCCATTGGCAGTAATATTAAGAGAACTTCATGAGCCAAATGTATATGCTAATTATGGACCAGCAATAGACTTGTTACATTGGGTGCTAATAAGATTAAGAGATCCTTATATTAAAAGTATAAGTAAGGATAATGTAAGTCTCAATAAATATTGCAAAAGTTAATAATATAATATTCCAAAATTACATTTTTATAATAATAATACTGATAAAGTTGATTTATTACAGTATGATTCTGTATTAAAAAAAATACCTTCAGAAATGCAAGTTGCACCACCAAATTTAATATTTCAAGTAGCAAGTGCAAAGCAATCAACTGCAGAGGAAAAATGGAAATCTAATGGACAAGGTTATTCCACGTTATATGCTTATCATGGCAGTCGTTTAGAAAATTTTCATTCCATTTTGCACTATGGTTTACAACAGAACATGTGTAAGGTAAAATTAATAATAATATTAATATTGGATTTTTTTTTTGAGACATATATACACTTAATGAAATCTATATAATGTTTATAAATGGTATTTGTTAATTTTGTTGTTAGAAATCATTGTATGGAAAAGGAATATATCTTTCAAGTGAATTAGGAGTAAGTTTACCATATAGTCCTGTTGGCTATGGATGGGGTGGTAGTGTTCTAGGTAGTGAATTGAGTTGTGTTGCTCTATGTGAACTTATTAATCATCCTGCCATAAAAAAACATAATCCAAAAGCTAGAATACAAAATACATCATCTGAATCAGTTCCAAATAAATATTATTTAGTTACCAATAGTGATTTGGTAAGAATTCGTTATCTTCTTGTATATAGTCAAGAAGTTCAACCAACGAGGTAATATTTCTTTAATAATCTTTATCAATATTTTCTATATTGTATATAAAATTCAAATAGATTTGAATTAAATATATTTCTTATATTTTAGGAATGATGAAAGCTCGGGACTATTGGAGTGGTTTAGGCAGCATAAATTGTTAACTTTTATGCTTGGATATGTCATATTATTAGCTTCAGTTGGACTGACGCATAATAAACAAGTAGAAAAATATTATAGATTGCTTGTCCAAAAAACTGGACTTGATTAAAACAAGATAAAAACTTGAATAAAATTTAATAATCTAAAATAATCTAAACTCTAATGAATACACATTGTTACTTATAAAAAGCTGATGTTGTTGTTTGGGCATAAAAAATATCTTTTAATTTACACTTTTAAATATAGAAAAAATTTCTATCGCATATTAACTATAATTACTTCTTATACTTCATTTTATATAAACTAATATATATATATAAAAATATTTGATATAAAATAATATATTATTTAAAAATAATGTAAAATGAATACATTATTTAATTAACTTAAGATAATTGCATTTATACATACTATTACTACAGTTTATATTTTTATATACCAAATGATTGCTAGCATCTGGAAAGTATTATAGGAAAATTTTCAGTGACTAAATAATCGTCTTCGAATATAATGATAAGATTTACTTCAAATTCTGAAATGAAATAAAATGCAATATTAAATACTCAACTGAATAAGCATTAAAAAAAAAAAAAAGAAAAGAAAAAATCACTTTTTTCTTCTTCCTCTATACTTTAGTATCGTAAACAATTTCTTACCAACTTTAAAATTACTTGTACTTAATGTAGGACAAGTGAATAATCTTGGAAATATCATGTAAATAGGTATAGGCAAATTCGTACATATATTTCCTTCTCCTATTTGTATATTTTGTATTTCTGTTGCTATAAAATATATATTATTCTTTTTGAGAATAATTCAATTAATTTATTTATTGTTATTTATATATGTTAATTTTATATTTACCATCTCTCGAATATCCCTCAGCACAGCCACACGTTTCTACTCTTACCAATTGCAATTCAATTGATTTTATAACAGCTTCACAATGTTCAATTACTACCTTAAATATACAAATTGAAATTGTATAAAAATATAATTTAGAAAGAAATAATATAATTATACATTCTCATTGAATTAATATTTTTACCTCGCCTTTAAGAGGTTCTGAAATTTTGCAATACAACGAATCTAATCTTCCTGAAATGCAAAATCTTGGAACATTAGTTTTGTCTTTTGCATTTTGTAAAGATTCCGGTGTTATCTTAAAAAATACTATTTTACTATGTTCTTTATCAACTTTAACGGTGTACTTGTCTTCTACAATAAATTCCAACGACTTGCTTACATCTTTTGCAAGAAAGTTCCTCTTTATGTCACAGCGTATTAAATATTGTATATTAACAAAAACTCCATGATAAGTTTCATACAATGGTTTCTTTCCTCGTGGCCTTAATGGTAATTCGAATGGTATTTCAAAAGGTATTCTACTACTTGATATTTTTCCAGGAGGTGCAACATCCACAGTATATTGTACTAACTGAATAGGCTGTAGTAAATAATGTCAATTAATTGTTAATTTTAATATTACGTAAAATTATTTTAATAGCATACTGCAAAAAAAAAAAAATGATTAACTAACCTTGACAGAATTATAAAATGCTTCAAAAATACCAACATTTTTGGAACTCAATTGTAAATTAACAGAACCTTCCATTGTTAAAAATATACCATCATGTTTTAAATCGGAATTAGTTTGTAATAATATAAGACCAACGACAACCTCCTAAAATATAACCTCAATATTACTGGTTATTATTATTGTTTACTGCAAAATAATAAATAAGACGAACCCCTTCATGATATATTTTACTGGCACGTTTTAACTTAATATCTATGTTAATAGACATGTTTAATAATAATATATTCTTCTTTGATATTCTTAAAAAATAAATATAACTATGACATTTGTATGATTAACAACCAATCTAATATGGGTGACATATTGGAACATGTGTTTATATTATATAACTATTTATATACGCCTCATTTTGAAATATCTTTTCAAAATATTATTTCTCTTTAATATAATTAAGTAATATATAAACAAAATATGTGTATATATAATATTAGATATTATGATAAACAAAATTATTATATTACGTCATATTTGTAATTAATAACAAACAAATCAAAATACGTAAAATTAATCAAACAATTTTTGATAAATTGAACATAATAATAATACAAATCTTCTTATTACGAATACATAAATAAATGTGTATATTAATTGATGGTTAATAAAAAATATAGGAAAAAAAACAAAAAAAAAAGAAGAAAAAAACAAAAAAAGTTACTTTTCAATATTAAGAAACAAATCAAAAAGAGTTATTTTTCGCGCCATTTGTATATCAGTGCATTGCCACCTACGGGGGGGTTAACTTCCGGTTTAGCAGCTAAACAAATTCAAACCGCTGAGGTCGTTATATTAAACGAGAGGTGAACGTTGTTTGGCAAGCATCTAAAAGAAAAAGACTATCCTAAGGGAATTATATTTTTTATATTAATAAAGATTATATTTTATCGTAGTTGACGATGGCGCTAAGAAATCGACAAGTGCTTATGGTAAGTAAATAATATACATTTTCTTAGATAACATTTGAAAGTAAATAGACTATTATATTCGTTAGAACATCTAACGAGGGGAGGAAGAACAGTGTAATGGGTAATGGTTAACGGTCCTGTGCCTGACATCTTTAAATACCCTATTATATCTAATTAGAAAAATGTAACGAATAAGAAACATTATCATTTGCACGTGTTATTTCCCTTCTTTTTTTTAATTTTTTTACAAACTATTACGTATGGATCATCAACGATGATCGGATTTAACGTATATGATTTTCTAATGAAATGATTTTTTTTTCTTTCTATTAACTGATTTTTTTGCTCAATTTTAATTTAATTGAAATATTCATAAACGTGTTCGTGTTTTTTTCTTTCTTCTTCTTTTCTTTAACGACAATGTTATAAATATTGTTTTTGTTTTTATCATCAACATTAGATTTAGATTTTGAAAGTAACTTTTAGTTTTATTATTTATATTTCAATGAATATACAATATGTGTATGGGAGAGAGTAAATCTTATAATATATAATATCATTTATAATTGAATATTGTGTTTTAATTTTTTTTTTTTACATTTTAGTTGATATTATAATTATTATTAATTTTGCAGAATGTTAATAAAGAAAATGTTGCAAATTCAAAATCATCTATTGCTGCAAAGACAATAACAACCAAGAGATCTGTATTTGGAGATTTAGGAAATAAAGTAAATACACAGAGAGGTGTTGAACCAATTGGTCGAAGTAGTTTGTTGAAGGAAAATAAACAAATCATTTCTAAAAAAAATGACGCTACTACTAAGCATGCTGTTGTTGGTGGTAAAACTTTAGATAAAATTCATGAAAAACCAATTAATAAATTACAAGATAAAACTGCCAAGATACAAGATAATAAATTACAAATGCAAATAAATAAACCGTCAATTAAAAATGAAGCAACCATAGAAATCAATCAATTATCATTAGTTCCAACGATACCTATTAAAAAGGAAAAAGAATCATTAACGTCTGATCATATAATCATTAAAAAGGAAAAAGAATCATTTTCGTCTGATCTTATAACCATTGAAAATATTGATGAAACTGATAAAGAAAATCCGATTTTAGTTTCTGCATATTGCAACGATATATATGAATATTTAAGAACTTTAGAACAAAAGTTTCCCATTAAAAAAGATTATTTAACTGGTCAAGAAGTAACACCCAAAATGAGAAGTGTTCTTATAGATTGGCTCGTCGAAGTACATCAACAATTTCATCTTATGCAAGAAACTTTATATCTAACTATATCTATTATCGATAGATTTCTACAGGTTTGTTTGTTTTTTTTTATATCATCAATGAAATATAAATCCATTAAATTTGGATAATAATAAAATAAATAATATTCATTTTTGTTGTTGTTGTTTAACAGTCAAATAAAACGATAGATAGAAAAAGATTACAACTAGTTGGTGTAACAGCCATGTTTATAGCTAGTAAATATGAAGAAATGTATTCACCAGACGTTAGTGATTTTGTATATATAACAGATAATGCATATACAAAATTAGAAATCTTAAAAATGGAACTGGTGATTATAACAACTCTTGATTATTCATTTGGACGACCATTACCACTTCATTTTTTAAGAAGATATAGTAAAGCTGGAAAGGTAATTAATTAATGTAATATCAATTAAAACATATATTTGTAATATTATCATTTTAATTATTAATTGAATATTATTTTGTTTATTAATTTTAAGGCACTTCCTATCCATCATACCATGGCTAAATATTTTTTGGAACAGTGTTTAGTACATTATGAAATGTGCCATTATTCACCAAGTTTGATAGCAGCAGGTGCCATATATTTAGCATTTCTGTAAGTTTATTTTATCATACAATATTTTTACTTTTTTTTTTTCTTTTTTCTTTCTTCTTTCTTCTTATAAAAATATATATAAAAAACAATATGTATATATATATAACAAGTTATATTATTAACATATGAATATATTTGTTTTAATAGAATTTTCGATAATAACGATGAAAATGAAAATAAGAACATTTGGACGAACACTTTAGAATATTATAGCACTTATACTAAAGAGGATATATTACCAGTCGTAAGGGATATTGCTGTGATTATAAATGAAGCAGACAAAAGCAAATTTCAAGCTGTTAGAAAGAAATATGTTAATGCGAAATATATGAAAATTAGTGTTCGTCCAGAACTTAAATCGCCCATCATAGTTTCTTTGGCACAAAAAGAAAGGCAAACTTAATTATTTTCGTATATATATATATATAATACAAATATATTTTTTTTCATTTTATATAAAATAATAATAATAATAATAATAATAATAATGTGATCAATTATCATCATTATCATCATTATCATCATCATTGGCAACAACACCCCAACATCGGCAAACAATCCAACAACTCTAAACAAAAAAAAATGAAAATGAAAATGAAAATGTAAGAACAAAATTCTACGTCCATTATTATTATTCAATGCCACATAAAAGGACATATTATTAATTATGATATTCCAATTAATGTTATTATAATTATATAAAAAAAAAAAAAAAAAAAAAAAAAAAAAAAAAAAAAAAAANAAAAAAAAAAGAACAAAAACAGGACCGTAATCACCTATAAAAATGTAGACTAAATTATAAATAGTGTCTATCGGGTGTGTCTATTGGACATTTTTGACACACATAGAAGATTGTTAAATGGAAGCTTGCTGCATCCCACGTTTACACAAACGTGTGTGTGTATGTGTGTTATTATAATGTGCGTTTAGAAGAATTATATACCATAATTTTTTTTTTTCTTTTTTTTTCTAGTATGAATATAGAAGAGAATAGCATGAGAATGTAGTAGTGAGAAGAATATATTTTGGACTGTTATAGTAATATTAGATATAACGCGATTAACAAAAAAATCATAACATATATGGTATATTTGATAATAGGAAATATTAAGCCTGCATTTTAAGTTTTATCCTTAAATCGTTAGGAAAACCTTTTTTTTTTTTTTCTTCTTTTTTTTTTTGTTTGTTTACCCCCTTTTCTTTTCTTTTTTTTCTATATATATTAGCATATAAACATATATTTTAACGATACTATATATGGGATACATTAATATTTTCACAAATATATATATATATTTTAATTTATACTTTGATAAAAATCTATTCATATAAATATCTTAACTCTCAACAAAACCTTGTTATTTATAAGTCAAACTAGCAGTTCTTATGTATTCTATACTATTAAAGATTGTATAAATTTATGTATACGGGAAATTTGACTCGAAATAAAGTACGATAATTTTCAAATGTTATGTACATCTCTGAAGCAAATTTTAAATGTAATAATACTATATATATATATATATATACATATATATGGATTAAAAATATACATATATCTATATATAGTTTGTACGGTACTATTTATACTTTGTAATCACAACGAAATCCATTTAATTGTAAATAAACGGATGATTGTATTACATCAGAAGTAACAAATGAAATTCTTGATAAAATAATAATATAGTTTACAAATTACTAGCTAGTTACATTATTATTATTATTATTATTATTATTTTTGTTGTTGTTGGAATGTGTAGCAAAACTTAGAATAAAAAAAAGTAGGAGGTAGTATTTTAATATCATTAATTATTTGTTTAGAAATAATTAGAAATTAATTAGAAATTAATTATTATAAAAATATTAAAATTATATTATATATATATATATATATAAAAGAAAAAAGAGAGAAATCATTTTAATATATTATAGGTTTATATAATATTTTATTTTATTTTATTTAATAGTAGTTAGAAAAAAATATATAGGTTTTTTGTAGATATAGGTTCTTCTGGTGGATACATTATGCGTGATTCTATAGAATAATTAAAATTATATTATTATTATTATTTTTTTTAAATTAATTATTCAATTAATTATTTGAAGAAGCATTGATAAACAACTGTTAATTAGTAACTTACCAACTAATTTATGCGGTACAAAGGTTTCTTGAGATTGTTTTGATACACCGTTATCAATTAATAAATCCTACAAAAAAAAATATATATATATATATATACAATCAATTAAAAATATTAATCATAAATAATAATTAATATATATGAAACTTACTGCTTCATAAAGCGAAAGACTAATAGGTGCTGATTTATCCCAAATTTTAGATTTACTGTTTTCTATAATAGTTAACAAATGTTTCATACTGTCTTGTAATTCTTCAGCAATTTCGTCATCATTAAAATGTAATAACATTTGCGTTAATAAGTCCACTTCATCTGCATGAATAATTGTATAATTAATAATAAGCATGATTAATTATTAATTATTATTGCTATGTCAGATTGAATATAATAGACAAAAACCTTTTTGCTGATATGTTTTGCTGATAATTTCATGTAATGCTCGCATTATTCCTAAATCTTCAAACATACTACCTTCTTTCATACTTAATAACTTTCTTTCCTGTTTTCTACGATTTTTACTTGATCTGTAACTTCTCCTAAAACAAAGTTACGCAATTTGAAATACTATATCGTATTGATTAAGTAATAGAAAATGATGTTTTTTTCCAATCAGATATATATATGTATATCTGATTTTACAGCATTGATTTATCTCGATCAATCTAATTTATATATATATATATACTCTTCTTATTTTATTTACTTAGATGTTGTAGAAGTTCGTGATCCATGACTCGTTATAGAATTTGTAACACTGCTAGTATCACTGAGAAAATCGTTAAATCCTTTATTTGACATTAATATATTATCATTTAATGTATCGTCATGATGACCATTAGTTTGTCTATTGATCATTTCTGTTCTTACTACTGTAAGTCGATTTTTATATTTCTCCAAATCTTCTTTATTCTTCATAATTTGTGTCGTAATATAATCAACATGTTCTTGTACGCCTGGTTTAATATGTGTTTCTATGTAGACAAAAAACAAAATGTTATTTTAAATTAAAATCTAATATATATATTATTATTATTATTTAATAAAATAATTTGTCTAAAAAGAGTAGTAGTTTTTTTTTAATTGTTTAAATGTTATATACCAATTAAATCAGAACGATTGATATCTGTTGCAATTCTTAAAGCATCCTTCCAATGTTTGCCTTCGCATAATGTTGTAATTACTTTTTCAAAATCCTTTATATACAGTGCACATATTTGGGCTGCTTCTAAATATCTTTTATTTTGACATAATCTCGTTTTAAGTTCCTCGTATAATGCAGATAATTCAGCAGGACTAAATAATAATTTTGATAAAGAGATCAATGTGAAAATATATATATATATA